TCAGGACTGCGAACCGAGACCGACGCTGCTCAAGAAACAACAGGAAGAGCACCAGAGATGGTGACCCCATCACCCTCTTCAAGCATGGACCCGAACCTTATGGAAAGGTTCTTCGCTGCTGGCGTACACAGTTCTCCTGCGGAACCTGTCACCACAAGAACAACAAAGCATTAGAACGTATCGAAGCTATGGAAACTCCGCGGAACTCGCATGGCATCACCTCAAGTGTCTCTATCAAGCAAACGACAACGTGACACAAAGCAGACTCGTGCAGCAGCTGACAACAATACAGATGAAGACCGGAGAAAAGGCGATGCAGTATATGAGTCGATGCCAGACACTCCGCGACCGCCTGCTTCGGTGCGGAGGTACAATCACTGAAGAAAGCTTCGTGACACTTGTCCTCGCTGGGCTCGAGCCAGAATGGAGAACCACCCGCTCGCTTCTTCGCGCCCACGGACGAATCTCGGAGAGGAACCTCTGCGCCGAGCTTCATGCTGAACAACAGGAGATGGACCTGTTTGAAGAAAGACAACCAAGGAAACAGCAACCGTTAGTCTTCTACACTCAACGAAGAAACGACAACAACTCCAACCGATGCGGCAAGCAAGACCAACGCGACAACAGAGGACTCACCATTGTGCCGCCGTTCTGCCACAACTGTCAAACATCCGGACACTCCAAAGTCAACTGCACACGCCCCCGAGCTTATGGTCCAGTAGACCCACAAGTCGCTTCCACTCAAGAAAGCCCGCGGAGGCGTTCCTCCACATCTGCACAAAGCACACCGAACGTCATCAATTGCATGGTACACATCGACAACTGTGCACCCGGATCACCACCCACTTACGCTCCAGACGAAGAAGAACTGCCGCCGCCGCGCTCACAAGGTCTTCAGGTCAACTCGACATACGCTGCAGTTGCCAACGCCGAACCCACCGGGCGAAACACCTGGTTCTTGGATAGCTGCTGCGGCCAACACATGTGCTCTTCAGGGCGCTTCGTGCAGCGAGAGCGATGCCTCAACCACGATGTCATCATCACTGTCGCCAACAATGAGAATATGAAAATAAATAGATAAGGCGTCGTTCAGCTTCAGTCAATGGAGACAAACATCATACTGCAACTCAACAAAATTCTAATCGTCGACAACTTGGGATACAACTTACTCAGTGTCAGCCAGTTAATGGCAAAAGGGATTCACCTGGAATGCGACTCGGACTCCAACGAATTTCGCCTTTACCACAGGAAGGGCGGCCTTTTCATCGTTCGCGCTCTCCTGAAGTCGGGCGTCTTCGTGTTGGACTTCGTCCCCGACCGCGGTACTGCCGACAGCGATGGCATCGTGTCGTTCGCCGCATGGACGCACCCGCCGGATCTTGACACTGACTTTACCCCAGATGGTTTCTGGTACTCCAACACAATACCTGCAGCAGAAAGGACCCGAGCGTTAGCAGTAATACGACAAGAAAGACACGTACCAGCAAGTGTCTCACCCGCAACATCACCTGCAGTACCAGCAGCAGGACCTAGTCGTGTGCCATCACCAGCGGTTCGAGAGCCACCAACCGAAGCAGACCAAGTCATGCCAAACGCTAGAGGAGTTTGCCGCAGTCCCGCAACAGTCGTCGCGTTCTTCTCCAACAACAGCTTGTATCAGCGCTCCCCCGGCCATCGCGCTCCCGACGTCATCTGGCACCAACGCCTCGGTCACCCTGCAAACAGTACAGTTCTACAAACAATCCAAGCTGGAGTATTAGAAAAGGACGCTCTCCTCACAACGAGCGGACAAGATCTTCGACGACCTCGCGCCAGATGCTTCACGTGTCATGAAGCCGATCTTCCAAACCAACCCTTTCTGTCGCATCACAATCCAAGTGCACCTGCATTCGCACCGATGGAAAAGGTTTACAGCGACATCTTAAATATGCCACGAGACGACAGTAAAGCAGACTTCAACTATGTCATGACGTTCATCGACGCAGCAACAAGATACGTCTGGCACTACAACCTCAAGACACGCGATCAAGCATTCGAAGCCTTCACGATGTGGCTCCCCATCGCTGAGCGAGAATCAGGAACTCAACTCAAGAGCTTCCAGTCAGACGGCGCACTGGAATACCAGTCACAACGATTCAGTAACTACTTGGCGGAAAGAGGAATCAGACGCCTGGTGTCTCTGCCCTATGCTCACCAGCAGCAGGGGGTCGTAGAAAGAATGAACCGGACCTTGCAGACGACGATGCGAAAGCTGCTCATGGGCATGAGACTGCACATGCTTTGGCCTGACGCGATGACCAATGCAGTTCACCTGCACAATTTGTTGTCCTCGTCATCACTTGCCAACAACGCATCATCGCACCTGCTGTGGACGGGAAAACAGGGCAGCACAAAATTACTTCGAGTCTTCGGCTGCATGGTACAATACAGACCCCACACAGCATGGGCAGGACGATTCTCACAACGAGCACGATGGGGACTACACCTCGGCATCGCAAAACAGTTCCAAGCATGGAAACTTCTCGACATGAAAGACAAAAACACCGTGGCCTCACGTGATGTGATTTTCTACGAACGACTGACGCTGCAGCATTACCTGGACAACATTGCAAACACAGAAGACCCCGCGAATGGCTTCGAGGGCCTTCGGTCCTTCGCCGACCGTGTTGCCGAGGCTGACGCAGCAGAAGAAGACGTACCTGAGGCTTCGGAAGCTGCCGGACCACTCCCTTTCTGCTCCGTGCCTGTTCCACTCGACAACGACAATCCTCTCGATAGTAACAATCTCGACACCTATTACCACTTTGCTGACCAAGGTTACGTTACACCTCAACCAGTCGACACGAATGTCTCAGAATGCATCGGACCAAATTTCTTACCTGATCCAGAAGATGGTGATGAAGCAGCCTATTCCGGGAATGAAAATTCCCCTCGACACACACCCACGGGCCTGCAGATACTTGGACTATGGGTCTCCGTCCAGCACCCGCCACCGCCGTCTCCGCGCGAGCCAACGACTCTGTCTCAGGCTCTGGGGGGGGAACATAAGGCGAAATGGAAGGAGGCAATGGAAAAGGAACTGAAAGCTCTGCAAGACAGAAACACATGGAAGCTGGTACCTGCAACAAACATCAACGGGAAGAACGTACTCTCGGGAAAGTGGGTGTACCGCATCAAGACTAATGCGGACGGCTCCATCGAACGATTCAAGGCTCGCTGGGTCGTACGAGGATTCGATCAACGATACGGAACCGACTACTCAGAAACATTCGCCCCAGTCTCCCGTCACACCTCTTTGCGCATTCTACTCGCCGTCGCGGCCACGAAGAAACTTCCACTGCGCCAGATCGACGTCGCAAATGCCTTCCTGTACGCACCTGTGGACGCCGAGATCTTCGTCGAGCAGCCCCACGGATTCATCGACGACCCCACAAAAGTATGCCAGCTGATAAAATCCCTCTACGGGATCAAGCAAGCTCCGCGGCTTTGGCAGCAGCATCTTCATGGCCGCCTCGTCAGAATCGGGTTCCTACAGCTGCCGCACGACCAAGGCATGTACCGACTACAAAATGAATGGGGTTTTATCCTACTCATCGTCTACGTCGACGACCTGCTCTACATCGGCTCCACTACCGACATCGCCACCTGGTTCAAAGGGGAGCTGAGAAGTGACTTGACACTCACGGTGTCTAACACCGTGACCCAGTACATGGGTCTGAACGTCGTCGAAGACAACTCGGCGTTCTACCTACACGCTGGAAAGTACGCAGGCGTTGTCGCGAAGAAATTCGGACTAACGCCGACTACAGTCACGACTCACTACCGCTACGGGAACAACAACGACACTTCCGCAAACTCCCCGCGAAGCAAATCCAGGAGTATCGGCAGAAGCTCGGCTGCCTACTATTCGCAGCAGTAACTTGCCGACCGGACCTATCTTACAGCGCGAGCCAACTGGCGACGCATCTGAAGCAGCCGGAACAAGAAGATCTCGAGGAATTAAATCGGGCACTACTCTACTTCGTCTCTACGCCGACGACCGGACTACAGTAAAGCAACGACATCGTCCGTACAACTACTCGGATACGTCGACGCCGACCACGCGGGAGACAGGGAAAATCGACGCTCAAGGATGGGCTACATCTACCGACTAGAGCCTATCGGGACTATCTCCTGGCAGTCAAGCAAACAGGAACTAATCGCACTATCTTCGGCTGAAGCAGAATATATCGCCCTCTGCACTACGACCAAGGAAGGACTTTACCTGCGAGAGTTACTCGAGGAAGCAAAGATTGCAACCCTGCCCGCCTTCTCACTCTTCGGCGACAACCAATCTGCGATCGAAATCGCGAACAAAGACGGTTTCGCCAACCGAACCAAGCACATCGCCCTGCGGTACTTCTTCGTCAAAGACGAAATCACGAAGGGGAGACTTCAACACAGTTACTGCCCTACGACAGAAATGGCCGCAGACTACCTGACGAAGAAACTGGCGCAGACAAAGTTCGATTACTGCATGCTGCTGACAGGGCAGATAAACGGCACCGAATCTGGACACGTCAGCACTCCAGAAACGAAGGGGAGTGTTGGAAATACCTCAAGGACTTGAGCGTTTCTGAAGTGTAACACCACACTCAAGTAAAGCCGTATCCAGTATGCGAGTCAACGGAGGTTACACGAGGAGGTTGGACGAAAGAACACGAAAGGACGAAAGACTCGAAGGGTCGCAACCGGAGGTTGCGACTGACAGTTACAACTGCAGGGGTGGTAACCGAATCGACCATCGAGTCGCTGTGCGACTCGATAACCGTTCCTTCAACTGTATTCTACAACTGCTTTATCTTCCTATTTTCTATATATTGCTGTATGCTTGTTTCTTTTAATCAATCACTTGCTCTCACATACTAGTGCAAGGGTTCAACTACTCAACTTCCGCTGCACTACTCAAGTATCTTGTACAACTGGGACTTAGTCTCTGAAAGATCCTAAGGGCTTTTTCTCAGCCCAACACCCTCAACTCGAACCTTTTGACGCAGCACGATCATGTCCCTGTTATAAGAAAACAGGGCTGGGCAGACCTAGGCCGCTCAGCTTAGTCAGTGAGCAGGAATGTCAGCCAGCGGAGCTCCTGAGCGGCCATAACACCAGCGTAGATCTCTACCTCACAAGTGGATTGTGCTACAAATGACCGACTGGACCGCCATGAAACGTCGTCAGCACCGATGCTGAAGCAGTAGCGCTGTGAAGACCTTAGTCTCTCCAGGTCGTCGGCCCATGATGCGTCTGTATCTCCACTGGTCCTCACTGGCTCCCATCCTCCCAGCACAAGCCCCAGGCCTGATGTATTCGCCAGATATCGCAACACCCTCTTAGCAACCGACAAGTGCTCTGGTCGGTGGCTGCCAGTCGCAGCAAAGCTAGCACGAATACTAAGAGGGTACGCTAGATCTGGGTGAGTGCACGTTATCAGGTATATGATGCAACCCACCAGTCCTGCGTATGGACTACTGGGCTCGTCTCATCCGAAACAGGAGCTGAGAGCTTGTGTTCCACAGGCAGAGGAGTGGGCTGTACCGATGAGAACTGTTGGCCGAACCTACGGAGGATCTACGCGCCCATAATCCCCCATGCGTAGAGGCATGTGGCCCTTTCGATGATCTTTAGGGCAACCCCTGTGGGTCTCTTGACACCCTCCCTCGCTGGGGTAGGCAGAGGACTCGACACTCATTCTGGTGCACACAAGGATTCGAACCCGAGACCTCTGGCTTTGATACCATCTCAAGCAAGCACAACCGCTAACCACTATACTAAAAGTACTTGTTAAATAGCAATCTGTGTGCCCATAACCGCCGAGGCATAGAGGCATGTGGTCCTTCCATGGATCTCTAGGGCGACCCAAGTGGGTCTCTAGACGTGGGCCAGGGACGTGAGCCGCAAGCGACTCGCCCTCCACACGCTGGCTCGTCAGCTCCCGGCAAAGAGCGGACAGCCAGGCTACGGCGCGGCCTGCGGCGTCGAATCGAAGGACGAACACCGAACCCGACGGGGTCGCCAAATTGGCTGGAGTACGTGACACCATACGTACCCGGACAGGGGCTGATGTGGACGTGGGCGGCGTACTACGGCATATCTGACGGCAGCGGCGGCGGGTGGTAGGGCCGACGGCAGGTCCAGCTACAGAGCCAACGACGGCGGCGGCGACAGCGGATAGGAGCTAGTGAACAAGGAGGTGGGTAATGACGACTGGGGCTAGCGACGGCACTGTAGGCTGGCGGTCTAAAGTACTACCAGCTGCGGCACTGGCGGTGGCGGTGCTCATGGCGGTAGCGGCAGCGGCTCTGGAGGCTGCGGCTGCTGTGCGGGTGGCGGTGGCGCCTGGGGCGGCTGTGCTGGCGGCTGCAACCCGGGGGTTGCGGGTGCACCGGCAGCGGCAGCAGCGGCGGCTGCAGCTGCGGCTGCGGCTGCGCTGACGGCGGTGGCTGCAGCTGCAGTGGCTGCGGCAGCAGCGCTGGTGGCTGCGGCTGACGGCTGCGGCTGCTACGTGGGCAGCTGCGGGGCATGCAATCGGGCAGCCAGCAGGCGGCGAGCAGCGGGCAGCGAGCAGCAGGCGGCAAGCAGCGGGCGGCGAGCGGCTGCAGCGGCAGCGGCGGGTCCGGCTGCAGCTGCGCTGGCAGCTGCGGCTGCGGACAGCTGGCTGCGCGCAGTGGGCAGCGCGCAGCGGGCGGCGAGCAGTGGGGGGAGTGCATTGGGCAGCGCGCAGCGGGGAGCGAGCAGCGGGCGGCATGGGCAGCGGGCAGCGCAAGCACAGGCTAGGGCGAGAGGGCAGGCTAGGGCGACAGGCTAGAGCGAGAGTGCAGTCGAGGGCGGCAGGCTAGGGCGACAGGCTAGGGCGACAGGCTAGGCAGGGAGGACAACCTAGGGCGGAAGCGCAGAGGCTAGGACCTAACCTAGGTCTGATTCCATGTCAAGCTGAGAGCATGAATTGAGTTTCACATGCAGAACAGAGTTCCTATATTGGTGTCGTCCCCTCTAGAGCCTGCACCTCGCTAGCCTACAGTGCATACAATATATGTACGCTAACACCCATCCCCACTGATACCGGTAATAATGAGCCTTCCTAATGTTCACGGACCAAGAGTTGAGGGCTCGTCCAGCGGAAACAAAGGCTTCTTCCTAAGCAACGAATTAGTACTACAACCGGTACGGAATTATTCTGCTGCAGGCAATGCCCCCTCACTCCATACTGGCCTGATTGCTTCTAGACGCGAACAAGCGAATCAGCGGCAGCAGAGCCTCGGGCCTCTCTTCATGGATGGCATGGCCGGCTCCCTCCACTATCACCACACTCACAGCCTCCCCCGTTGCAAGAACATCCTTGGCTGCTTGCACTGGGAGAGACGACGTCTTGTCATTGGCTGATGGTTTCGGAGGGGCGAAGCCTTAGCCAAGGTTGGGTAAGAGGTGGAAGAGACAGGAGATGCGGGAGATGCGGGAGAGCAAGGGTTGGAGAGAGGAGGAAGTTGCGAGGAAGGGGAAATGCAGGGTGGAGAAACCGGAAGAGGAGAGAACGAAAAGATATGGAATGGGGAGCACGTGCAAACCACACAAATACAGAATACACAAACATTTACGCATGCATATAGCCAATAGTACCCGGAGTTGCCTGGCCCTACTCACCCCCTACCTCACCCACCCTTCTTCCCAACCCTGCTACATACATCCATAGTCCGTACCTGGTGCAACACCAAGGGACTCCTCCAGATGCACTCTCTTCATATCTGAAGCCCATGCGCCATCAAACCTGCTGTTGCTGCTGCTGCTGCTGCTGCTGCCAGCATCACTGCCGCCAGCCCCACCCACAGAAGTCTCCTCTTCAAACTCCTCCCCCTCCTCCACGACCTCTCCCTCGTACTGCTGCTCTTCTAGGTCCCATTGCTGCCCCAGGATAGCAGCTTTGTAGGAGGCCACGCTCGGCAGGTTGAGGGAGAAGGGGTAGTCGGAATCTAGACTCTCCACGGGAGAAACAACAGGCAGCGGGAACTCCTGCTCCTGATCCTCTTGCTGCTGCTGCGGCGGCTGGAATTGCAGGGATAGATTCAGCTGCTGCTGCTGTTGCTGTTGCAGGGTGTTTGCCTGGGCGCCACTTGACCCTGAAACTGCAGCTGCAGCTGTGTGCATCTGGTGTGCAATGGAAACGAATTTAGAGTCCCCGGAGCCAGCCACGAGCAGCAGAGGTGTTGAGGAAGAAGAGAGCTCGTCCCAGAGAGGACTGAGGGGGGCAAGGCAGGGAGTGGGGTGGAAAAACGTAGAGAGAACGACTGGGGTTAGGACGTCCGATGGCGGTAGTATAAAAGGCGAATGCTGAGAGGGAAGGCACAGGATCGATCCTCTCTGAAAAGCTACATGCCTGAATAGAGTTGCCTATTCCCTCAACAGCCCAGGCCATACACAACGCCTTTGCCTTAAAGCGGCAGGAGAGGGAGGAGAGGGAGGAGCGTCAGAAAAGAGACGACTCACGGTTGTCTGCCTGTGCTCATTCCCCTCAGCGCCATGGCTAGGGATGGCTCTGTGCCCCCTGGCAACACCACCATGGGTGGATGCGAGTTGCTGGTATCAGTGGTGGAAGGAGACGAGGGGGAGGCGGAGGAGGACGAGGCGGAGGAGGACGAGGCGGAGGAGGACGAGGCGGAGGAGGACGAGGCGGAGGAGGACGAGGCGGAGGAGGACGAGGCGGAGGAGGACGAGGCGGAGGAGGACGAGGCGGAGGAGGACGAGGCGGAGGAGGACGAGGCGGAGGAGGACGAGGCGGAGGAGGACGAGGCGGAGGAGGACGAGGCGGAGGAGGACGAGGCGGAGGAGGACGAGGCGGAGGAGGACGAGGCGGAGGAGGACGAGGCGGAGGAGGACGAGGCGGAGGAGGACGAGGCGGAGGAGGACGAGGCGGAGGAGGACGAGGCGGAGGAGGACGAGGCGGAGGAGGACGAGGCGGAGGAGGACGAGGCGGAGGAGGACGAGGCGGAGGAGGACGAGGCGGAGGAGGACGAGGCGGAGGAGGACGAGGCGGAGGAGGACGAGGCGGAGGAGGACGAGGCGGAGGAGGACGAGGCGGAGGAGGACGAGGCGGAGGAGGACGAGGCGGAGGAGGACGAGGCGGAGGAGGACGAGGCGGAGGAGGACGAGGCGGAGGAGGAGGAGGATGGGGCTGGTGGGGAAGAGGATGGCGAGGAGGAGAGAGGAGAGGAGAAGCGGCGTGCGAGCATAGAGTGGAAGCATGGATGGTTGCGCAAGCTGTTGGGGGAATGGAACGGAGGGATGAGGGAGAGGGATGGAGAAGGAAGGAGCTTGAGGGATGCAGGTGGGTGAGGCATGTTGGAGGGAACGAGGAAGCAGTCCTCCTCGTGAAACGGATGATGTTAGAGGGAAAGCGTAAAAAGGTCTAGTGGTTTTAGTCCGAGACATATCGTGCACTTTGAGCTGACCAGTGCCAAGCGGATGTTCAGAGAGGTTCGAGCGGACGTGCAAAGCGGATGTGCAATCTTGAGATGATCCAAGGGAGTCCTTGAAGCCGCACCTGGTCCACAGCGGTTGCTGGTACCACGAGTGAACGAACTGCTCAAGCCCACCAGCGCACAGCACTGCTGCTAGCAAATCATCGCTTTCCGCACGGGCAGCTCGGGCAGCCACTTCTCGAATTCCGGGGCTGCCCGAGATAATGACAGCAGAGGAGACCTGCCAAGCCGGAGATGGTTTCATGAAAATGTCGCGAGTAGGTTGAGGAGTGATTCAAAGAAAAGGATTTGTTGGGAAGGTCGTGATCGTGGCGTGGACTGCCAGCGATGGTGGACAGAGAGGGCAGAATGATGATGCTGGCTTTTGACGATTGCACAGGTGGTGATGGTGGTAATCACATGCCTACATGCGAACCGCATACATTAACTCTACAGACCACAGGCCTGTCAGAAGGCGACTATACGTGCATAGCGCAGAGACCTACTTGGTATGAACCTAAGGGGTCTATTATTGAGGCGCCTAAAAAAAAGAGACCTACTTGATGTGAACGAGTGCCACACGCGCAAAGTCTCACCAGGTGCGGGTGGCGAAGCGCCAAGTAGAGGGCCAGCCGAGCACCCAGGGAGTATCCCACCAGCACCACCTTGCGCTGCTGCTGCTGCTGCTGCTGATGCTGCTGCGGTGGCGCTGCGGTTTCTAGCAGGCGGGCAAGCAGCGCTGCAAGAGCAGTCGCTGTGTCTTCGAAGGAAAATGGAGAGGTGGAGGGGGAAGCCGAGGAGGAGACGGGGGAGGGTAGAGGGGAGGAAGTGCGAGGGGACACAGAGGAGGGTGGGGTGGAAGGTGCAGGACTAGGGGCGTCTGGTGAAGCTGCGTCTGTGGGATGGGCTGGGAGGGAGACTGGGAGGCAGACTGGGAGGGAGACGGAGGTGGATCCATGGCCGGGGAGATCAATGAGCGTGCATGGGAAGGAGAGGGCGAGGGGGTCGGCAAGAGGTAGCCAGTCCGCGTGAGAGCCAAGGAAGCCGTGGAGGAAGACGAGGGTTGGCGGGGGGTTGGAGGGAGCGAGAGGAGAGTCCGGGTGGGAGGATTGTGGGGAGGAAACAGAGCGTGGGGAGGGCGTTAGGAGGATGTTAAAGTCCACAGTTCCCCCGTTGCTCAATGCCACTGCTTCTCTGCGCTCCTCCCACTTTGAACTTGCACCTGCTGCTGCCTCTGCTTCTGCTGCTGCTTCTGCTTGTGCTCCTGCTTCTGCTTCTGCTGCCGGTTCTGCTGCTTGTTTTGCTTTAGACTCTGGTGCTGATTCTGCATGTACTCCTGTTGCTGCCTCTGCTGTCCGCGCAGCCGATCTCTCCCCTCCTCCCACAAATGCGCCTGCATCACCTGCTGTGCCGTGCACCAGACCACCCTCACCCTCCTCCTCCTCTCCACGTGTCAGCATCTCAGCACACGTCTCACTGCCCTCACCACCAGTGATAGGGTTTTGAGAATCCTCAAAAGCCACACCAGCATCCCACCGCGCAGACAGCAGCACTCCCAGCCAGCCCTCCGAGCTCCTCTCAGCAATCAACAGAGGGGGAGATTCCTCTTGCAGTGCAAGAATGTCCACCTCTGCACAGGTGCTTCCCTGCTCCTTCCGCTCCTTCACGCTTTCCTCACACCCCCCCAGGCTCTCCACCACCTCTCTTGCCACCCCATAATCCTCTCCACCTCCCCTTCGGCTCTCATCCCGCTCTGCATCATCAACCAGCCACTGAAAGGTACCCAACCCATGGGCCGCAGCAGCAGCAGGGGGGCAATCAGGAGAAGAGGATAACGGCTGGGAGTCCCGCTTCTCTGCTTCAGAGGTAGTAGCCGCACCTGCATCCTGTGGCTGCTGGGGCTGCAGCAGCAGCGAAGGGAAGGGGCTGGTGTCGAGAAAAGCAGCAAAGTGGCAGAGTGAGGCAAGCCCGTGCCGGGACTCAAAGGACGAGCTCACCACGCACTGCACGCCGAGCAACGCCGCCCATCTAGCGATCACTGCCGCCCCCTCCATGCCGCCCACTCTGGACGGCTTCACAACGACTGCTGCCAGCCCGGACCAGTCGAGCGAGGGGGGGAGGGCGAGAGTGGGAGTGGAGTGTGAGGGGGGGAGGAGGAGGGCGTCATCTAGAGACTCATCCAGAGCAAAGGGGAGGCCTGTGGCACTATAGAACTGAGGAAGGAGGTGGAGATGGGCTACTGGCTCCTCCACAAACGCCAGACCACAGGACGCCACAAGCCGTCCAAACTCCACAGCTTGCGGCAGCGACCAGCGGCGGTTGGCATCCACACGGATATGCACGTGCGGCCCCACTGCCTCTCGCACTGCGAGCACCATTGCAGCGTCGTCTGCTGGGGATGCTCTCCTTGCTACCTTGACTTTGATTGCAGTGAAACCGAGGGTTTGGACTAGGTGGGTTGCTGCATGGGCCACTTCAGGAATGGACCCCCTTTCACCGTCCAGCAACCCACAGCACCGCGCTTTCACCCGGTCTCTCGACTCAGATGCTTGACTTTGAAGAGGTGGGACCAGAGGAGGAGGTGGAGAAGGGATAGGAGGCGGAGGAGGAGGAGGAAGGGGGGATTGCGAGAGGAGGTGATAGAGAGAGGTGTTGTGTGCAGCAGCCATGGCAGAGAGGCAGGCTGCCTCTAGGCCAGCTCGCACACTGGAATACAGAGATGATGGCTGCTTGGGGGTGGGTGGAAAAGGGTCGAGAGTCAAGAGCAGGGAAGGGGGACGTGATGGGGAAGGAGAGAAGGGAGAGAGAAGGGAGAGAGACTTAGTGGAGTGTCAAGATAGGACACCTAACTTTTGGGTCGACTCAAAAGCAAACAAGAGCAGGGAAGGGGGACGTGATTGGGAAGGAGAGAAGGGAGAGAGACAGCAGTGGAGCGTCAGGAGAGGTGTGGGAATGAGAATGCGACCGGGAGAGGTGAAACGGTGGATAGGAAAAGAGAGAGAGCTCCGTCTTTTGGGCCAACCAGAAATGCATACAGTGTGACAACAGAATAATACCAGCAGGCTGCTAGAACCGGCACCAGGCCAGCACGGGCAGCAGGCCAGCAGCCCGACTGAGAGCCAAGGGCATGCCAGAGCCAGAGGGAGAAGGGGCAAGGCGACTGACTTTTGAGTCGACTCGAAATGCATCCCTCTCACCTGGACGCCAAGTGCGTGCCAGAGCCAGAGAGAGAAGGTCCCATTGAGCAGCGGCAAGGAAAGCGGCAAGGCGAGGCCTGGGAGGCGGTGCGCGAGCAGACACAGCTGCTCGTGTGCGTCTAGCAGTGACTCCGGATGCAGGCCGGGGAGAGGGGAGACCTGGGAGATGGGGGGGGAGGGGCATGGGTCGGGAGAGGAAAGGCGGGAGACACAGCTGCTCGTGTGCGTTTTGTAGTGACTCCAGATGCAGGCCGGGGAGAAGGGAGGCCTGGAAGGTGCGGAGGAGGGGCATGGGTGGGTTGAGGAAAGATGGGAGACAGACGGGGCGAGCGAAAGAAAAAGCAGGCACAGCTGGGAGAGAAAGTGCATGCCTAGTAGTGACTCCGGATGCAGGCCAGGGAGAGGGGAGACCTGGGGGAAGCGGGAGGTGGAGCATCGGCAGGAAGAGGAGAGAGAGGCGGAAGGCAGAATGTGGAGGGAACGAGAGAGAGGATGGCAAGCTGCTCATGTCTCAAAGAGGAACCCATCTTCAAGCAGCTTGCAGCAGCAGCAGCCGCAGCCCAAAGGAGCCAATGCACCCCAGAAGTTGGGGTTCCTTTGTTCTCGAGTGCATTCACTGGTCACATGAGTCCATCTCCCCCCACCCGTATCTTCTAGACACCAGACCCTGTCACCTCGCACACCAGACCCCACCAGACCCTGTCATCTCGCACACTGCCCTTTCCTCCCGCCCTACCTCGCCTGTGCCCTGAGCCCCTCCCTCCAGCCGCACGTGCAGCAGCAGCCCTTCTCTCTCTGACTGCGACAGCGCTCCCCCACACAGCTCCACTGACGTTGGGGGCTCCCTTAAAACGATTCTGGAGGCGGAGGGACACAGGCGACAGGGAGTCAACTGGGGTAATAAGGCAGCAACAGCAGCCCCTCTCTCCTCCTGATGCACCGCGCTCCCAGACAGCTCCCCTGACGTCTGCTCCCACAGAAGATGTTGAGGGCTCCCTCGGAACGATTCGGACGGGAGGAGGGGGGATGGGAGGCGTGGAATAGGAGAGGAAAAGAGCGAGGTGGAACGGGAGGGGGGACGGGAGAGGTCAATGAGGAGAAGCAGCCGCTCTGGGATGTATGAGGGGGGATGCATGGGGGGGGATGCATGGGGGAGGATGTATGGGGGGGGGATGCATGGGGGGATGCATAGAGGGGGGATGCATAGGGGGATGCATGGGGGGATGCATGGGGGGGGATGCATGTGGGGGATGCATGGGGGGGGATGCATGGGGGGGATGCATGTGGGGGATGCATGGGGGGGGATGCATGGGGGGGATGCATGGGGGGGGATGCATGGGGGGGATGCATGGGGGGGGATGCATGGGGGGGGATGCATGGGGGGGGATGCATGTGGGGGGATGCATGGGGGGGGATGCATGGGGGGGATGCATGGGGGGGGATGCATGGGGGGGGATGCATGGGGGGGGATGCATGGGGGGGGATGCATGAGGGGGGATGCATGGGGGGGGATGCATGGGGGGGATGCATGGGGGGGATGCATGGGGGGGGATGCATGTGGGGGATGCATGGGGGGGGATGCATGGGGGGGGATGCATGGGGGGGAATGCATGGGGGGGATGCATGGGGGAGATGCATGGGGGGGGATGCATGGGGGGATGCATGGGGGGGGATGCATGGGGGGGGATGCATGGGGGGGGATGCATGGGGGGGGATGCATGGGGGAGATGCTTGGGGGGGATGCATGGGGGGGGATGCATGGGGGGGGATGCATGGGCGGGGATGTATGGGGGAGATGCATGGGGGGGATGCATGGGGGGGGATGCATGGGGGGGGATGCCTGGGGAGATGCATGGGGGGGATGCATGGGGGGGGATGCATGGGGGGGGATGCATGGGGGAGGGGGGGGATGCATGCGTGCATCCAGCTTGAGTCCATTGTCAATGAGATCCCCGAAACGTAGTTATCACGAGTCTACTAGGCGCTGAATGACAGGTTACTGCCAGTCGACTCCGATTAGAGGATTTGGATCTATTCTCGCCATCCCTGTAGTAATCGGCCCCTCACTCCCTCCCCCCCCTCAATCGCTGTGTCCACCCACCTGATTCTCTCTATCTTTGTCTCCGCCACAACCAGCGACCCATGCCTGCCTCTGCTGCTCTCTTCGCCACAGATCCCCTCTGCTGCTGCATCCACTGCAGCATGTCTTGGACGTGAGGAGACCGGCACACGGGAGTGGCTCTTGAAGACCGGGAGAGCGCGCCCCACGGCCCTCCGGGCAGCGTCCTGCAGCAGGCGGTGCCAGCGCACGTTGTGGTCGATGGACGGCACCTGCACCTCCACCACAGCATGGCGGTGCGTGGCCCACGCGGCGTGCAGAGAGGAGAGCAGCTCTGAGCGCGTGGTGGCCCGGAAATATGCAACTCTGGTTGGAACGCAAGGGGGGAGGGAGGAGATCTGGGGGCGTTGAAACGGGCAGCACCTGCCCCTCCACCACAGCATGGCGGTGCGTGGCCCACGCGGTATGGAGAGAAGAGAGGAGGTCGGAACGAGAGCTGACTCGGAAATACACCACTTTGACGAGGGAGGAAGAAAGAGGGGGGGGGGGAGGGGGGAGAGATGCAAGGATTGGAGCACACCGAGATCCGCACAAGCAAAGGAACGGCAAACGGCAAAACCATTTTCTGAAAGTGCGGCTGGCCGACCTATGTGTGCCTTGCAGAGGTGGTGCAGCTGCACTTGGTATGGAGAAGAGAACCAAGAACACGGGTCTCTCGAGCACACCGCTTGTTACTAAGGACTCCCACACACAAACAAACAAACTGCAAAACCGTCGTGTGAAAAGCCAGCCAGCTGACCTGTGCGCCTTGCAGAGGTGGTGCAGCTGCACTTGGTGTGGCGTGGAGAAGAGAGCCGAGAACACATCTGTATCCAGCGTGCCCGCTACCGGCAGCAGGCTGAATATGCCGCCACCCCCGTTGTTCACCACCACCACTGTCACCGGGGGCTGCCCTGACCTGTTGTGGGAGTGGACACGAGGACGGGATGCGAGGAGAGGAGAGGAGTGAGGCAGGGAGGGCAATAAGGAGCAGGCACTTCTGCAGAATTTTCTGACACCGGCCCATTCGTTGTTCACCACTACCACTGTCACCGGCGGGGCCGGCTGCCCTGACCTGATGTGGGGATCGGGTGGGAGGAAGGATGGCCAAGGATGGGACGAGGGGGCAAGGGCAGTAACAGACATGCTTCACAGTATACGATGCCACAGCACAGCACTGCACAGCACAGCACGCCGCATCACACCGCATTGCGCCCATGAGCATACCTGGCAGCAGAAAGGAGCGCAAGGGAGTTGGAGTCATGCAGGAACGACACGTCGCCAATCAGCAGAGACACCTGGCAGGGGGAAGGGACGCAGGGGATAGTTGCAGGGTGCAGACGGAGTATGCACCGCAACAGAAATAGGTAGTCCAGAGGTACGTCTCGTCCAGAATTTCAACTTGTCACTCGTTGCACAACAGAAACAGGCAGTTCAGTTCAGTGGACTGTGGAAGTGGACAGAATCTAAGTTTGTATAGGTAGGCAGCTCCATCGCACTGCATGTCCATCCTACATCCTACATCCTTCACTCCCTCGCGTATCAACCATATCCTAATCAGACCCACCATCCCAACACCTCCCCCTTGCATCTCAAACCCTCCATCTTGCATCCTAATACCAGATACCACCACCGCTTGTACAAGATTGCCTACTGCAAGGAGAGACCGCCTACCGGTTGCTGAGTGCCTGCTGCAAAGCCAACCGCCGTGCTGACCACCCCGTCAATTCCGCTCGCGCCCCGGTTCCCTCCCACTCGCACTCCTCCCCACACACACTCTCCACCGCCCCCCCCCCACGACCCCAGGAGTCCTTCCCCTGCAGCAGCACCAGAACCGGCAGCAACAGCAGCACTAACAGTACCCCCATCAGCAGCAGCAGCAGCAGCAGCAGCAGGGGGGTGCAAGCGTTGAGGGGTAGAGAAGGAGATGGAGGAGGGTGCGGCAGCGTACATGTCGACATCTCTGATGGGCATGCTGTTGCCAAGGAAGAACGCATGGCCATCAGGCAGCGATGCTACTAGAGTGCGCGCGACCCAGGCTTCATCTGGCACTTGGGAGGGGAGGCTCAGAGCAATGGATAGCTCTCTGGAAACCTGCGACAGTGGGGGTACAGGGATGCAGAATGACTGACTGATTCTGATGGACCGTTTTAATGTCCCAGACACTAATTCTGCTGGAGTGTGGGCAAAACAGTGCACATCCAGGGTTCGGGAGGGAGTCCAAAAAAAAAAACAAAAAAAACTTGTTGAATGTTAGGTAGTGAAACCCCGCATCCATGTGTATGTGCCCATGTCCCATGTGCCCCTGTGCGCTTACACGCTCATCCACACACGCACCACATCAGAAAGAAACTCCACCAGAGGTGCATGCCCCATGCCCTCCTCCACAACCCCATCCGCCCCATCCTCCCCATCCTCTCCTCCTCCCCCTCCTCCTCCTCCCGCCATACTCCCTGCTCCCCCACAAAGCAGCACAGCAGCGGCGAGAGCCGAGGCGAAGGCCGGCAGAGGCATGTGCAGGCGGTGAGAAACAGCATGGGCCGGGTCTATGCGGCGTGGCGACGGGTGCACGAGCACATACGCACGGAAGGGGTGCGAGGAGGAGGAGGAGGTGGGTGGGGCGTTGGCTGCTGCTTCCACCATTGCGGGTAGCCTCTTGCCCACCAGGGGACCTCCCAGCTGAACGCAGAACAAAACGAGTGGACAGACAGTGGGGAGTATAGGCACGAGAGACAGATAGAAAGGTCAAGGGGGGGGATGGTGAACAAGGTAGTGCGGACGCTGCTTCGACCATTGCTGGTAGGCTCTTGCCCACCAGGGGACCTCCCTGCAGAACGCAGTGGGACCAGACAGAGGGAAGAGTTCAAGCATGATGAGAAGGATAGAAGGCTTTCTGCGAGGGGATGGTGAAAGAGAGAGAGCTATGGGAGGAAGAGAGGAAGGAGGATGTGTGGAGGGGGAAATTCCGAGAGAGTGGAAGGATACTGTGGGTGTGGTAGGCCTTGTCTGGCATGGCTCCCACGCACCATGGCTCCCCGTCACACATGCCATGGTCACACATGCCATGCCATGCCATAGGCGTAGGCACTCCAGAACCACATGGCATGCTCACCCAAGTCTCACCTGCCTTGCCCCTTCCGGTCTCACCTGCCTTGCCCCTTCCGGTCTCACCTGCCTTGCCCCTGTCAGTCTCACCTGCAGCACCACATCAGGAGCCACAGCGTCAGCTGCTCCCTTATGCAGTAACACATGGTCTAGAAAGAAGCCACTGACCATACCACTCTCGCCACACCCACTCCCCACATCCCCTCCCACTCCCATTCCGCCAACATCCCCCCCTCCTCCTCCTTCCCCTCCCCTCTCTCCTCCCCCTCCCCCTCTTGTCCTCCACACTCGCAGCCCTGAGAGGGCATCTGCGGCCACGGGCCACTGCAGACACTTGCAGACGAGCGACGCCGCCCAGGCATCGCGCGCGGACGGCAGGCTGCCGACCAGGATGATGCCGCGCTTAGCTGAGCGCAGCAGAGACAGCACCTCTTGAAACTCCGCACTTAGCGTCACCATGCCCATGCTGCTGCTGCCCATATTACTGCTCATGCCCATATTGTTGCCGAAGCCCATGGCTGCAGTATTTCCTATCCCCATGCCCATGGTACCAATGTCTGACCCAGTGGCTGCTCTATCTTCCCCGCTCGTGCTCTCTCCTCCTGCTCCCATCACTCCTGCTCCTGCTCCACTCCCCTGTCCTGCTACCACACCAGCACCAAAAGAACGAGGCAGGCCCAAGCGGAGCAGACTCGAAGCAGGGAGAGACGAGATGAAAGAATCAGCTTCAAGTGCAGCAGCACCAGCAGAAGTGGCACCAAGGGGTTGGGAGAAGGGCAGGAGGGAGGTTTGCCAGCGATGCAATCCCGACAGGCAGGATCGGTTCCAGGCCTGAGGTGCGGGGGCCAGGGGCTCCCGGAACTGCCAGTTGAGGTGCACCGGGCCTGGAGGCTCGGCACAGGCTCGGTAGGCAGCAGTGTCAATGGTGGTGAGAACGAATCTGGTTGGGTGGGAGGGTGGGAGGGAAGGGTTGGGTGAAGAGGAATCCTGGTGGGAAAGAAACACGTTGTAGGAAACCAGAGTTCCAGAATTTGGAATGGGGAGGTGGAGAAGGTAGAACGGAGGGGAGAGAGCACAGGAGACAAACACCTTCCAGGTCTCAACTAGAAGAGCCTGCCAAGACGAGTCTGTTTTACAACTTCCGAACCGAAACGCCCAGGAAATTTTTAGCTCATGGAAGAAAAGCCAACAGGAAAAGCCATGCACACCTGGCAGGGACCTTGTCGGAAGGTGCTGGAACGTCAGCATGGTAGCGCACAAAGGAGCCAAAGTGATGCACCTGAAAGCGAGCGACAGCGAGATAGGATGCGTACAGCGAGAGGCAGCGAGATACCCAGATGGAGAAGAGATGTGCGTGAGGGAAGGAGGGGCAGTTGGTTGGGTTTGCTGGGGAAGGGAAGGGGAGACGCCAAAGATAGGGGTGCTGAAAGAACAGGAGGCAGAGAGGAGAAAACGCGTGTAGTTGGAGGCAGGTGTGCGTGCTGTGTGTGGGATGTGCTGGGCGTGCTGTGCATGCTGTACCTGGTCTATGGTTTGATTTGCTGCCGTGTCCCGCAGCTCTGCCGGGCGATCAGCAGTGAGCACCAGCAGGGGCACGTGCTGCTGACTTGCCTCCACCACCTGCAATGGTGCCAGGGAGGGAGTGGTTACTCACTCAATACAGCAGTCACAAGGGAGGGGTCTGCGGTTTGGACTGGACACTGGGGATGGCGCTCGGAGGGATGGGGGCAGGGAGGAAATTGGAAGCAGCTGTTTCACCAGAGGAGAGGATGTGATGATGGCAGCACAGTGAGTGATGGGGGTAGTGGACAAGGCGGCTCACAGCAGGGACAGCAGGAAGAAAGGGCGGCTCACAGCAAGGGCAGCAGGAAGGAAGGGCGGCTCACAAACAGGGACATCAGGATGGAAGAGTGGCTCACAGCAGGGAGGAGGTTGGAGACGGCAGTGCCAGAGGATGTGATGATGGCAGCAGGGCGGCGCGCGCCCATGGCGTAGCCCAGAGCATGGAAGGCGAGGGAGCGCTCGTCTATGGCCACCACACAGGTCACGTGCGGGTTGGTTGCTGCTGCGATGGACAGTGGGGACGACCGCGACCCTGGCGCTATGCAGAAGTACTGCAGGAGGGGAGTGAGGGGAAAAAAGGGGGGGGCAGGAGTGAAGGTTGTGGGAGCAGAAGCCTGATTGCCTCTGGTGTTTCTGCGCATGGAGAGTGTGCGTGCGTGTGCGTGCGTTTGCGTGCGTCTGCGTGTGTGGCATGCATGGGTGTGTCTCTGTGGTGGTGTGTCCATGCACCCACCGTGATACCAAGCCGGACGCACTCCTCCACAGCCATTCGGCACCACACAAAGTTTATGTTCGGTTGCCCCTCCAAGTCCACCTGTCCTGCTGCTACTCCTGCTCCTCCTGCTGCTCCTCCTCTTCCTCCTCCTCTGCTTCCTGGCTCTGTACCCTTGTCACCAGCTGAACCTCCCCCAGATACACCCCTCCCTGGGCCAGGCACAGGGGCTCCCCCAAGCAGAGCTTCAAACTGAAGAGAGGGGGAATTGAGAGATTTGTGCACAGAAGCGAAAACATTTTTTAGAATTCTCAAAAACCGAGCAAGGCGCAGGGGCTCCCCAAAGCAGCGCTTCAAACTGAAGAGAGGGGAGAATTTAGATATTTGAGAACAACAGTGAGGATGGTGGGGTAGGAAGGAGAGGAATAGGTGGCTGGGTGGACGCCTGAAGTTACAGACAATGGGGAGAAATTGGGGGCTAAGAGGAGGCATGCAAACAGAAGGGCAATGACAAGAAGGCAGCAGGGATCAATGTACGGAGCTGTACCCTCTTGTGCAATTTATGCCAGCAGTATTCCCCTTAACACTGACCCTACATATGCCAGCAGCCCCCTGACACGCCTCCACAGTTCTCGCCTGTATGATGCTGCTCCTGAAGTACCACCTCCCCCTCCCCCTCCCTCCACCTCACCTGTCGTGTCTTGAGGTTGAGTTCACTCCACTCCGAAGCCGCCTTGGCACCTTTGACCACTCCCACTCCTGCATATAGCAACACACGCCCACCACCACCCCCACCCTTTCTCCTCCTCTCCCCTTGCTCCTCCCCTCCCGCTGCATCCCCGCTCCCGGGCTGCCCCTCCCACGGGGCCATGCTGGCTCCTGATTGGACGAGAGCGGATCGGATGCCCACTGCAAACTCGGAAGCTTCGGCGCCGAACCACCCTACAGGTCCGGCGTACAGGCCTCTGTCAAACGACTCTGGGGTGGGGAGGGAATGTAGATGAAGGGGGGTGGGGAACGGGGAAAAAGGGGGGGTGAGGGGAGGGGGGGAGGGGGAGGGAAGTGGGGGGGTTTTGATCAGGGAAATCAGGAGGAGACAATGTAGACTGAGGGGAATATTTTTGAGGCGCCTCAAAAATAGACTCAGGCGAATTGGCATGGGAAGGGGGAACGTGTCAGGGGGCACGTGCGGAAGGTGACTTTTGAGTCGACTCAAAAGTCGGGATGGGAAGGTGAAACGTGTCAGGGGGCGCACGGGGAAAGCCTGCGAGGGGGTGCGTGCGGAAAGCCCGCAGGGGGCAGCATGGGGAAAGCCCGCGGGGGGAGTGGGGGGAGGAGAGCAAAGGCCCGTGGGAGGTGATTTACATGGGAAAGACTATGGTGGGAGCCTGTGCAAGCATGAGTGGTGAGTGATGTGAGATAGGTAGCAATGGAAAGGCCGTGTGGGAGTGGGACATGGTGGGAGACATGGGAGACATGGGAGAAATGGGAGAGATGGTAGCAGACCTGCAAAGCGAATGGCCTCCTGGGACTGCTTCTGGGGGTGGCCGGCCACAGCTGGTGTGGGGTGCAGCGATGCCAGTAGGTTAAACTAGCGGGGACGCAGAGCGGGAGAGGGATGGAGAGAGGAAGAGTTGGGAGAGGTGCTCCATCAATGCCTCTTGACTTTCCGAGATGAGGGTTGGGAAAGATTATGCCTCACTCAGAGTCCAGTGCCAGAGAGTCGGCCATTCTTTTCAGCGGAGAACAGGAGTGCTAATAAGAATCATCCAAATGAACAGTGAGGCAAGTGGTTGGCGCCTGCCACCTATTTTTCAGGTGCCTCAAAAATATTCTCTCCAGCAGAGAACAGGGGTGCTAATTAGAATCATCCATCCAAATGAGCTGTGAGGCAAGTGGTTGGTGCCGTCGCAGATTGCGAGGGAGGAAGGTAGCTGACTGACCTCGCCTGCGGTGCTGAAGAGGCGGCCGTTGATGCGCGCATAGAGGTGCTGCACCCGGTGCTGCGATATGATGCGCTTGTACTCCTCCACTTGCACGCGCTCGCACACTCCCTGCGCATGTGTGGGGGGAGGGGAGGGGGGGGGGGGGTTGTGAGGTGACTATTGAGTCAGACTCAAAAGTCGGCCGTCAATCGCATAGAGATGCTGCATCCGGTGCATGCATGCATACATGCACATGCACATGATGAGTCTATTTTTGAGGCGCCTCAAAGACATGCACATGAACATGATATGATGCACTTGTACTCCTACACTTGCACTCGCTCGCACACTCCTTGCATGGGGGTGAGTGGTGTGAACGTGCATGCATGCAGCCAAAGACATGCACACATGCGAGAAGAGAGGCGAGCGCGAGCATGCACACACGCATGCACGCACGCATGCACACACACACACGCACACGCACACGCACGCGCACACGCGCGCGCGCGCACACACACACACACACACACACACACACACACACACAACGCAGTCACACGCATTAACAATGAAACGAATGGATGCTAGCTCTATGTGTCTATGTCCAATGCTGACACACACCCACTCATCACATAGATTTACGCTCATTGGCTGGCAACAGAAGGGAGGATGGACTGGTCGCACATGCACGTGCAAAGGGACATACGCACAAGGCAACGCAAAAGCGTTTGTCTAGGACATGTTAAAGGGGCATGCACACATGCCCCAGACGCGTCTGAAGCCATACCGCTAGATGCCTGTGCACGCTCTCTCGCACGATCTCAAACTCCTCATGGTCCTTGTTGCTAGATGGGGGGAGGGGGGAAGGGGGGAATGGGGGAGGGGGAGGGGGAGGGGGAGGGGGGGAGAGGGGAGGGGAGGAATGACAGGAAACGACAGGCAGGGTTAAGGGGAAGATGCCGGCAAAGAGTGGGGAGATGGCAGGGTTGCTTTTGAGGCGTATGCACACGTTTTGGGTGCAGTGCTCATGTGACACAGCCGGTACCCTACCCTACACTGCTTATCAAAGCACATGAATACAGAGGGTCTACACCCTTGCCACTCGAACCAGTGCAATCGACAGGAAGAGAATAACGGAGCAAGACTTCACATCCAATTGGAAAGCGTGGAGCATGATATATGATGAATAGCCCGTATTTGCCAGCCTGCCATGGCCGAAAATATAGGCATGTGAAAGAAAGGGAGGCGTAGCCAGAAGAGCGCATACATGTGCGCAAATATGCGCACACGCACCTGAGCAGCAGGCTGAGAGCTATGCTGTGGTCCTTTGCTAGTGCCTGTGCTGCTCGTAACAGGGTTACTCTGTGAGGCGCCTACAGGAGAGGAACAGTTAGCGCCTCCGCTCACATCACATGCACTTGCACGGGCGAGAATCACTGCACATCTGAGCAGCAGGCTGAGAGAGCAATGCTGAGGCCCTCCGCTGGTGCGCTCGTGACTGACTATGATAGCATTTGAGATGGGTAGAAAAAAGCATACACGCATGTTCACATGCACTTACTTGGGTCAGAGAGACTGCATACCTGAGCAGCAGGCCGAGAGCTATGCTGTGGTCCTCTGCTGGTGCCTGTGCTCGTGAGCGCGTCGCTGCCACGGCCTCACTCGTCACCGCGAGCCCCTTGCGCGCAAACAGACGCTCGGGCTGGGGTTGAAGAGGGGGGTTGAGAAGGATTCGAGAAAGGATTGGCGGGTTTGAAAGGGATTTAGAAGGGAGAGTGGAGGGGATGGGGCATGGACGAGAGGAGAGGTGAGAGAGAGGTATTGCTGTCACTACCTCACACACTTGTGACCCCCAGACGCTTGTGAGAAAGAAGCTGTGTGGGACTAGAACGAAGAGTGGAGCAGGCTGGTGGCCTAAGTAGGGCAAGTAGCGAAGGGAGAGACCGTGGAAAATGCAAGACGAGGAGAGGTTCTTGATTGTGAGACGAAGAGAGGGTGAAGGAGTGAGAGGGCGAAGGAGTGAGAGGAGTGAGAGGAGTGAGAGGAGTGAGAGGAGTGAGAGGAGTGAGAGGAGTGAGAGGTGTGAGAGGAGTGAGAGGAGTGAGAGGAGTGAGAGGAGTGAGAGTGGGGACAGACCGTTGAGGAGACAAAGGCGCAGCCTGCATGGGGCTCCAGGAGAAACTGGAAGGCGCTGGGGTCCCTGGCCTGATAGAGGCATGGGTGTAACAGGGAGGAACAAGGGGAGGAGGGAGGAGGGGGAGAACGAGATGACACGGTGGGTGGGGGCAGGACAGGAAATTAGCTAAGAGAAACCGCACGAGTTGGGAATTGGAGGAGAAGGCACGTGTGCTTTCGAAGCTGCCCGAGCACAAATAGAGAAGGCTTATCAGCCAAGTAACATTGCGCAGAGAATAAAAGGGCAAAAATGTGCCACACATGCCATGCTATGTGCGCATCCCATCGCATCACCTGCAGGGCTCCCAGCAGCACAACCGGGTCCACAGGGTCAACGGTGGTCAAACAAGTCCGCCTGGCCATCACCACCTTCGACAGCGGCATCTGGTCTATCCGGCTCGGCTCCAGCATCCACGGCTTATCCCCCCACCCCTGCAACCCACTCCCTGCCGCCTCCCCCTCCCCGTCCACTTCTCCCCCACCCCCTTCTTCTCTCCCCACTCCTCCGCGCCCCTGTCTCTGCTCCCCTTCCACCCCTCGGTTCCCCAGGCTCTGGAGGGTTCGTTCCACAGCGAGGTGCCAGAGCAGCTCGTCTGGCGCCACTGCCTTGGACGTGACTTGGGTCAGGACGCGGGGCGGGTGGGGGGTGCGGAACACTGGACGGACCTGGGGGAAGGGGAAAGGGGGGTTGGGGGTTGAGTTGACTCAAAACACAAGAGGTGCCAGAGCAGCTCGCCTGGGGCCACTGCTGACGTGACTTGGGTCAGGACGCGGGGTGGGTGGAGGGCGCTGAACACCGGATGGACCTGAGGGAAGGGGAATGTGGGGGGGAAAGGGGGGTTGGGGGTTGAGTCAACTAAAGAACACAAGAGGTGCCAGAGCAGCTCGTCTGGCGCCACTGCTTTGGGCGTGACTTGGGTCAGGATGCGAGTAGGGTGTGGGGGGTGCTGAACACTGGACGGACCTGGGGAAAGGAGAATGTGGAGGGGGGGGCGGCTGAGTGGAGGCGGGAGGGGAGACGAGGAAAAGAACCGCGAGACAAAAGGTTGGGGGGACAGGAGACCATGGAATTGGAAACTAGTCGCCACGGAATTGGAAACTGAAGCTTATTTTAAGATTTCTGGGTTTGCCACCCCAACGCCTCTCACCAGAGAAAGCGCCTGTTGAGCTGCTGCAATCGCCTCGAGCACAGTCGCTGCTGGCCTATGCTGTGTCACACGGGGCATGGAGCTAGCTGCTCCTGCTCCTGCTCCTGCTCCTGCTCCTGCTCCTGCTCCTGCTGCTGCTGCTTCCTCTGGAGAGGATGGGCGAGGTGGCTTGTCTGTTGCTGATGTTGACGAGTCAGAGGCAGCTGCGGGCGTGGATATCTGGGAGGCCTGGTCTGTGTGCAGGAAGAAGGGGTCCCACAGCACATGGCACGCGAGCACACAACAGTCCTCGCACTCCCTCAGCTCCACCTGGGGGTGCGGTGAGGGGGGGAGGGGGGAGAGATGCAATGGGGGAGAGGAGGGGTGAGGTGGGGGCGAGGGAAGGATTGTGGTGGGGGAAAGGATGGGTGAAAAAGGATGCAGGAGAGGGACAAGAGAGGCCATTAGCGTTTTCTGAGATGGGCTGGGTGGTACGAATGAGGGGACTAGCGAGGGGACTTGAACCAGGGTCAAGGGGAGACATACCAGATGGATGTATGCAAACGTACAAGAGGAACGAGGAAGAGGAAAGTGCCGAAAGGGGCCCACTCGTGCGCCATAGGAGCCTCTGCGTCAAAACGGATGCCCCCAAAAAAGCGCACGCTTGGGGATGAGTCTGACAGGTACCTGCACGGGCGAGGAGAAGGAAGAGGGTGGCTGGCAGAGGTGGGCATCGTGTAGACGGGACTGGACTGATGACCACCGGCGAACGGGACGGATCGTTGAGTTTTAGGGAAAGAGCGACAAGAGAAGGTAGCAAGGCGGCATAAGGGTTTCCGGTGTGACAAGGCCAACCATCTTTGAACGTGTGAGAATCCGCAGGCGATTGTGAAGGGCCAGCCATACCTGCGGATTTGCCTCCAGTGCCTCGCCTTGAATCCCTCACTCTCTCCCCTCAGCATTACCGCCGCACCCACACCTGCAACCGAGCCTATACCCGAGCCATCAATACCGGACCAGCTCGCCCCATCTGGCGCAGGCTCGGAGGGCACCTGAGCAGAGAGGGAGCGAGTGCCCCTGGGGGCTCTGGGGGAGAAGTAGACGCGAGGGGAAAGGCCAGGGGGAGGGGAGGGGCCACTGGGGAAAGCTGGAGGCGCAGGGGAGGCGGATGGAGCATTGGGAAGCGGGGGTGGGGGGGTAGCCAGCTGTGCTGCTGCTTGTGCTGCTGCTGTTTCTTGTCCTGCTGCTGCTGCTGCTGCTGCTGGTGCTGCTGCTGCTGCTGCTGCTGCTGGTGCTGGTTGTTGTGCTGCCAGCCATGCGAGAGCATTGAGGTCGGGAGGGAGAGGAACCTGCTCAACGGGAGACAGGAAAAGGGAGGGAGAAAAAGAGGAGCATGAGGACAGCGGCTAGGTTGGATGGACAGAGAAAAAAAGAGAAGAGTGAAAGTGAACGCATAGGACAAGATAGGTTCTGAAGAAAAATCAGGCTACTGAAACGTGCGGGCACAGGTACAAACCAGGGCAAGTAGTTCCCATAGAAAGCTAAGTGGAGCTTCTGATACAGAGGCGGCTGTGAGGATTGAACGACTGACGCCTGGCGGATCCAGTCAGCAGCGTACGGCGAACCAGAGTCAAGCCAGCAGCAGCGGTCGCACCTCAAATCGGATCACCCCAGAGGCGAAGCAGGGCGGGGAGGAGGCGAGGTTGGCGAGAGCAGCCGAAAGAGCGATGAGCGCGTCAGGGAGGGATAGGACCGGGGGCAGACGGCGCGTCTCGTGCATGGATACCGGTATCTGGAGCAAGGGGACGAAGGTTAGGGTGCGGGAGGAGAGACAGGAGGAGAAATAGGAGGAGATATAGCGGAGCGAAGGTAGCGGATGTGGTAAGGCTGGATGAGGAAAGTGCGTTGCGTTGATGGGAAACGGATGATCCAGCAAAACAAAAGGCGGAATATCAACGCCTTGTCATGTTTTTGAGGCGCCTCAAAAATATCAACGCCTTGTCATGGAATTTTAATTGTCATCTGATCTCAATCCCGCGAGCGTCGTTCGCGCATACCTCCATATGGCTCGTGCTTGTGCTGCTGGCTGCAGCTGCGCAAACCACCCGCGATCGGCTCCTCCATGCCGCCGATCCGCATGCTGCACTCCCCCCTGCCCCCCCCCTGCTCTCCCCCGTGCTGCGCCCCCCCATTGAGCGCTCTTTGCGGGGTTCGACCGCCGCAATCTAAACCCGCCGCATTCCGCAAGGCGAACTCGGGCCTCCTCGCGTCCCCACGGATTGAACCGGAGATGCAAACCCCAGAACGGCGATCGCGGGAGTGGAAGGTTTGGAGTCAGGGAAGCACGGGGAGACGCGGCGAATGCAGAAGGATGAAGCAGAGCTGGGTGCGAAGAGAGAATTGGATTGATCGGTCGAGGCGTTCGAATGTCTTCTCTTCTCTGTTTCTGTCCCGTACCCGTGACGCTTCGTGCAGAGCCGGGGACTAGAGACGTGGTGGCGATACCGCGACAAGCCATTTCGCCTCTCTATCTGGCAAGCAGTGAAGAGTCGCGTTAATTTGGTCTCTAAAACTGGCAAATTGTCATCTGACAAACAGCTTAAATAGGTCTACCCAAGATGTGCTTGTAGTGGTAGTCTGGTAGAGCAAGACGTGCCTCCCTTGACCAAGGCTTGTCCACGACGGGAGTTGCGCGGCGCGTGAGACGCAACACTGATCAGCGCGAGCATCCGACTACGCAACGCGCAGCCATTTTGATCGGCACTGACAGAAACAGGGAGTTGATCAGGGTAAGAGTGCAATGGCTTCAGAAGCGAGCCAGGCACCTACTAGTTTGGTTCTGGGGCAAATGAAACGAGCAGGTGACGAACACAGACTGTCTGGAGACCCCAGTAGGTTCGGTGAACTGCGTCAATTTCCAGGTTCTGAATTCTGTCCAGTCCAGGCTTCACGGAGGGGAGCGCGGGAAATTGGAAAGGGAATTTCGAAGCGAGCTGCACACGTCAGCAACTTGCTTTCCTGGCATTATCTTCGGCTTTGGTACTCCGTACGCGATACAAAGACCACATCAAGGTGCACAATCCCCAGGTGCCGTTTAAACATGGGTGTCAAAATTAACACATTTATTAGGTCCAACAAACAAAGGCATGCATCCACTAGGGTTTTTTAGACTAAGCAAGCATGCAAACAATCAGACGACCACATAGTACTCAGTTCTCCTCACTTGTGCTGGATTTTCTCTCCTTCGCCTTCTTGGCCCCCTTTGCCGCCTCCTTCACCTCTCTATTGATTGTGCGCAATTGTGTGAGCAACTTGGTTTGTGGCGGCTTCTGTGACTCCACATCTACAAGCATGCGGTTGAGCAGGTGGAAGAAGTAACTTCCTGGAACCAGGTACTCCTCGTAAGCTGCTAGAGTTTTCACACGATCTGCAGCAGTCTTGTCGCGCAGAAGCTGTAGATATCAGGAAAACGGTATCCAACAAAAACAGGACATTATGAGATCAAGGTATGGTGGTGAGTGAGCCTCAAAACAGAGGTATAGCACGCCGAAAGAGCAAGCAAGCAAAAGCACTGAGGTGGGGAAAGGAGTCCAACCTGGTTCAGCATGCGAATTTCAGGTCTGAGGGTCTTCTCCTTCTCAGTCATAGCCACTTTCAGCACCGATTCCAACTGCTGCACCACCTCAGGGTTGCCTTCCTTGCGAGCCTGGAGACACAATGGTACAGCAAATAGAATGTAGACTCATGTCAGGTTCCCATCCCCATTGACTTCCTCCCTCACTCATCCACTCCATCTCTAATCCCCTCACTCTCTCCTCTCCCAACCCCTGCTCCACCTTCCTCCCCTCAATCCCTCCCTCCATCCATCAACCTCTCGATCCCCGCCTTTCCTCCTCAACCCCTCCCTCCAAGCGACGGGCAGCAAGAGAAAACAAAAGAAACCAGCACAGCGACGGTGGTCCTACCATGTCCAAGTAAGCTGACGAAACCATGAAGAACTCCTCTGACAGGTCGTCCAACCGCTCCTGTACAGAGGCCTGCAGGTCCTTGGCCTGGAGCAGCTCCACTAGCACAGCGACGGTGGTCTTACCATGTCCAAGTACGCCGACGAAACCATGAAGAACTCCTCTGACAGATCGTCCAGTCGCTCCCGCACGGAGGCCTGCAGGTCCTTGGCCTGGAGCAGCTCCGCCAGCACCTTGGTCGCATCCATCTGCACCCGTCGCGACTGCGCTGCCAGTCTCTCCCCTGCGCGGTGCAGGCAGCAGCCGGAGCACGGATGGGGTTAAGAACACGCGGAGCAACTGGTGTTGTCATTGGAATTTGGAGGTGCAGTCAGCAGGTTTCAAGAGGGCAAAGAGGAGGGTGTGATTGGAGGTTTGCTTGTGTTGCGATTGAAAAGGGTTCCGTGACACTGCATTGATAGGCCTTGGTTTAGAAGGTGTCCATATGTTGGCATCTTCGTCTCATACCAGCTGCTGTGATAACCCCTTGCTTTCTACACAAAACACAACGTCCTTCTTATCCTGTGCCTTCCTACTCTACCAATATCCAGACTTACCACCAGCAGAAGCACGGCAATGCACAAGGCGAGGAGCTGACGTGTCACTCCCACCGCTCAGCCGCTGCCCCTGGCCACTGATCCGCTTGGACATTCCATGATTCCCCGACGCTAGGGATGCTGTGGAGGACAAGCGGAGACCGCGTGACTCAATCGAAGAACGCGAAGCGATCGTCACGGAGGAGCAAGCTCTATCCGCAAGAAAGCCCACGCTTGCGGTAAAGGCGACGGCCATCTGTCAGTGCAATGACGACGATACTACTGGCTGATACCCGAGATGACGTAAAATAGCTCTGAGAACATCAATTGCGCACTGATCAGGAGATAATCAACACGGCTTTGGGTTGGGATTTGTTGCAGTTTGAAGACGGCGAAAGATGAAATGGAGGGGGGAATGGGAAGCTTGTTGATCAGGAAGGAGCAGGGGATGATGAGGGGGGTGAATGAATGTGGAAGTGAGGGCGGTGACGTGGCGGTGGAATGCTGGGCGCACAAACGCTCTTTCTGCACGTGGCACAAAGGTGCTGCCACGCAAAATGCTCAAACAGAGAAACTCACCACTTCATCGCAATAATCTAAGTGGGTAAACCAGAACATCATTCTACATATATATCCAGCCACAATATACCTGGTAATGGTAAGCAATATATCATGATTATTATTATCCATATACTTCTGAATAACATTATTTTCCGCATATTATAGTAGATTCCATTTAACCCTGACCGATTTTCTACAGCAGTATGCATAATGCTAAATGATGAACAATGCTGATGTAATAAACTTTGTAGCTCGTGATTGTATCCGACGGACAACAGCGGGGTGACTCCATGCTTATGTGCATATGTCGCGGTTTTGTTGCCAATCAGGGAGCAGCAGAGCAGAGCCTAGGGGTCTGTCTGGCCTGAGAGGAGAGGCCCTTGCTGTGCTGCTCCAACCAGCAGCCAGCTCCTCCCTCTCAACTGATTTACCCCTCCCCCCCGCAATAACCCTTGCTTGCCTGTTTCCACCACTGTTCCTGCTTCCGCCATTCCTGTTGTCGCTCCGTCCCAACCATCCCACCCGCACACACTCCACTCTCCCACGAGCTTCCCTGCTCCCCCTCCGCCTCGCACTCGACGTCGTCGCCATGGCCGCCGTTGCGAACTCCGCCCGCCGCGTGCTGACTGCTGCGGCTTCCGAGGCCAATGTTGCTGTGCGTCGGTTCCACGCGGCGCCTGCTCGTAGCGCCGCTGCAGGAGGATCTGGAAATGTAGGTCATGCGACTTCAGTGGGTATTGCTCGCCGGGTTTTCTTCGCCGTGCGTCGACAAAACGAGTTAAACGCTGATCCCACGCGATGGTCGTTTTATATTTCCCGTTCCTATTATTGCGGTGGATCTATGGCAGGAGCCTGCCTACCTTCACGCGTATCACATGTACGACATCCCCTCTGTACGTGCCTCTTTCCTTATACAGATAATCCCATTTTTTTCTTCAGTCTTGGTGTTTCTATCTTCGTCCTGTATCGCTTCGTGCCTGCTTGCCGATTCTTAGCCCAGTCTTGAATTTGATGTTCGCTCAAACTGTTTGTTTGCCTCTTGCGTGCGTACCTTGCGACGTTGCTGATAGTCTCTTATGCATCTGTGTGTGTGTTTGTGTATTATGTCGTGTGCTGCTTGTCTTGTTCCCGCCCAGATCAAGAACCGTAAGCTGAAGTTTGGCGTCGCTGTCGTCGGCTCCGTTACCTTCGCTATAGCCGTCCCGCTCATCGCGGTCTGGCATCAGCAGTACGTTCCTCCCCACCCCCGCCTCCCCCCCGCCCGCTCCCCTCCCCCCTCTCTCTCTCTCCCTCTCTCTCCCTCGCTCTCTCCCCCACTCTCTCCCTTCCACCCTTCCTCCCTCCCTCCTCTCACCCTCTGCGCCTCTCTTTCTCTCTCTCGCCCTCCTTCCCTTCTCCATCGCCTTCCTTCCCTCCCATTCACTTTGCTCCGTGCATGTGCTGCCTGCGTCCCTGCTTGCTCATGGTGCCCTCACACTAGTCTACCTCCCCTCTTTCTCTGATCTGATCTGATCTGATCTGATCTGATCTGATGTGTGTGCCAGGATCAAGGCCCGCGGCTGAAGTGCCAGTGGAAGTCCACTGACTGAGCTTCTGTGGGAGGGAGAGCCTGCTCTTCTTGAAAGCCATACCTAAAATGCACAGGCTGTAGTACGGTAACTGGGTTACTGGGGGTGTTAAATACGGTAGCAGCTTTGGATACCTGGGATTAAGAGTCAGCAGCAGCGGTGTGGAATATCAAGAGGGTTACAGTTAGTCACAATATGTTGGAAGTCTTTTGCTGAAAATCCCTGATTCACTGCCGTTTCAGTGACAAGTACCGTATGCAACCTTAGTGCACATGTTCAGTTGATGTACATTATAGAAGGTGCATAAGTCTGGTGTTGTATCAGTTCTTTTGGCCACGATTGTGGTGTAGCCATGAGCCCACGTCGTCGCCCGAAACGGAGCATCCACCATCGACAAATTCGCGGCACCAGCACAACACCGCTATCATGCAGGCATTTCTACCATCATCACCATCCTCCCTCAAAGCTAGGTACTCCACGTTTTAGAGTCAGCCCTCGGGAAGCCCCAGCCATGGCGCAACAGCAGCCACCAGCAACTGCCAGGACCGTCAACGGCTTACCTCCCCAATGGCGCCGCTGGTTCGACTATCGCCTCGCCTCACTCCGCGCGCATTCCCTTCTCCGCCGCCTCCGCCCCATTCACCTCATCCCCGCGCCCATCCCACTGAATCCCCCCCGCACCTCGGCGGAAGATTTTGCGCAGCGGGAGGAATGGGTATTTGGCGCGCGGAATGAGGGGAATGGGGGAAAACCGCGCGGGGGGGAGGTTCTGGGGCAGATGTCTTCCTCCTCCGCGGGTGAAACGGAGGAAGCGGAAGAGGGTTCCGCCAGGGCGGCATGGTGGGATGTGGCTGCTGTGGAGGTGCTTATATCGGAAGAGGCGTTCCAGCGGTGGCTGGAGGAACCAGCGGGGGAAGAAGGGCAACTTCTCCCCTCGCCACTGTTCCCAATACCCTCAATACAATCACAATCACTAACACTAACCCCGTCCCCGCCACCACCAACAGCAGCACCTGCCGAATCTCCGGAAACATCCAACCTTGTATCACCCGCGTTCTCCTCCCTCTCACCCCCCCCCTCCTCCTCCTCCTCTCATCCTTCTCCTTCCCCCTCGCACTCGCTTCACCCGCCCTCCGCCTCCAATCCCCCCGCGTCCCGCCGTCTTGTGCTCTTCTCCGCCAACGACTACCTCGGTCTCGCCTCCCACCCCCGCGTCCGCGCTGCTGCCGCCAAGGTGCGACTTTTGAGGCACCTCAGAAACATCGCCTGTATACACACCCCCACCCCCTCGCCCTCCTCTCCCCCAATCCCCCCCCTCGTCCTCCCCTTCCCCTCCTCCCCCCCCCCTCTCCCCCAACCTTTCGCCACTCGGCGTTTCCTCCTCTTTTTAGTGGACGACAATCTCAGCCTCGCCTCCCTCCCCCGCGTCTGCTGCTGCCTCCAAGGCGCGTGTTGACGTGACGTCAGCTAGCGGATGTGCTGGCGTCGGACAGGAGGTGTACTGACGTCAGCCGTGGGCGTGTTGACGTCAGCAGCACCTCGCTTCCAACCTGGATGGTTGCGCATGGGACTGAATGGAGTTACCCATCAAAATTGCACTGCACTGCACACACATAAGCTGGTTCGTCTCCCCCTCCCTCCTCCCTCCTCCCTCCTCCCTCCTCCCTCCTCCCTCCTCCCTCCTCCCTCCTCCCTCCTCCCTCCCTCCCCTCTCTCTCCCCGCCAAACCACCACCCCCCCACTTGTCTCCTTCAAAAGCACTGTCCCAGGCGGCGTGGGAGCAGGGCATGGGTCCGCGGGCCTCAGCGCTAGTGACGGGGCACACGGCTGGGCACCAAGGGCTGGAGGGGGATATTGCGCGGCTCAAGGGCACACAGGTGGGGGGACCTGCCATGCGGTTGTGAGAGAGAGGCGCTCAGGCGCTCAGGTGCTCATGTGTGTGTGTGGGATGCACGACGTGAGGGGCTGGAGGGGGATATTGCACCGCTGAAAGGCTCGCAGGTGGGAGAAACTGCCTGCCATTTGCGGCTGTGAGAGAGATGCGCTCGGGTGTTTGAGTGAGTGGCATGCACGGCTGAGCTCGAGTGGCTGGAGGGGGATATTGCGTGGCTCAAAGGCACGCAGGTGGGGGAGCGTTCCGTGTGCGGCTATGAGGGGCACTGAGCACTCGGGCGCGTGAGTGAGTGGCATGCACAACAGAGCACGAGTGGCTGGGGAGGGATATTGTGCGGCTCAAAGGCATGCATGTGTGTGTTGCCATGCCATGCCATGCCATGCCATGCCAGTCCCGTCTCTTGCTACTGCCATCTACATCGCAGCCCCATTTGACCTCCGATACCTTCTGAGATTTGTCTCCCAAGCTGCCAGGCAGTCCCTCTTCCCCCCACCCCAATCCTCTCTCGCACCACCCTACCTACAACCGCCTCAACCCTCCGTTCTCCCCCCTCCCCCTTCTTCCTCCTTGCTCCCTACGACAGGCGTGCCTGCTCTGTCCGACAGGCTTTGCTGCCAACCTCGCAGTTCTCGCCTCTCTAGCCCCAGTGGCACGCTCCAGGAGCAGTAACAGTCCTGTGGCTGGGAGAAACCAAAGCAGCAGCAGCAGCAGCGGTGGCGACGGTGGTGATAGCACAGACAGCACTGGGGGAATCAGGAGTATGGGAAGCACTAGCAACACTGTTGGTAGTGGTAGCAGTGGTAGCAGTGGTAGCAGGAGCATGAGCCATGTGTGGGGACAAAAGGCGGTGGTAGAGAGCAGTGCAGAGGAGAATGTGGAGAGAGCTGGTGGTTCAGAAGACTCCTTGGCGGTGTTTTCAGATGAGCTCAACCATGCGTCCATCATTGACGCCCTGAGGCTGCTTGTGCGCGAAGGGAGCGGTGCAGTGGAGGGGCGTGCTGCTGCTGGTGCTGCTGCTGCTGTGGTGCTGCATGTGTATCGGCACAACGACATGACGCATCTGGATGAGCTGCTGTGAGTCAGACACTGGAGGTGGAGGTGGAGGTGGAGGTGGAGGTGGAGGTGGAGGTGGAGGTGGTGGTGGAGGTGGAGGTGGTGGTGGAGGTGGTGGTGGAGGTGGAGGTGGAGGTGGAGGAGGTGGTGGTGGTGGTGGTGGTGGTGGTGGTGGTGGTGGTGGTGGTGGTGGTGGTGGTGGTGGTGGTGGTGGTGGTGGTGGTGGTGGTGGTGGTGGTGGTGGTGGTGGTGGTGGTGGTGGTGGTGGTGGTGGTGGTGGTGGTGGTGGTGGTGGTGGTGGTGGTGGTGGTGGTGGTGGTGGTGGTGGTGGTGGTGGTGGTGGTGGTGGTGGTGGTGGTGGTGGTGGTGGTGGTGGTGGTGGTGGTGGTGGGGAGGTGGTGGTGGAGGTGGAGGTGGTGGTGGTGGGTGGTGGTGGAGGTGGAGGTGGAGGTGGAGGTGGTGGTGGGGGAGGTGGGAGGGTGGAGGGGGGGTGGGGGGGGGGGGGGTGGGCGGTGGGCGGTGGGCGGTGGGCGGTGGGCGGTGGGGGCGGTGGGCGGTGGGCGGGGGGGGGTGGGCGGTGGGCGGTGGGCGGTGGGCGGTGGGCGGTGGGGCGGGGGGGGGGGGGGGTGGGCGGTGGGCGGTGGGGCGGTGGGCGGTGGGCGGTGGGCGGTGGGCGGTGGGCGGTGGGCGGTGGGCGGTGGGCGGTGGGCGGTGGGGCGGTGGGCGGTGGGCGGTGGGCCGGTGGGCGGTGGGCGGTGGGCGGTGGGGGCGGTGGGCGGTGGGCGGGGCGGTGGGCGGTGGGGCGGTGGGCGGTGGGGGTGGGGGGCGGTGGGGGGGGGGGGGCGGTGGGCGGTGGGCGGTGGGCGGTGGCGGTGGGCGGTGGGCGGTGGGCGGTGGGGCGGTGGGCGGTGGGGCGGTGGGCGGGTGGGCGGTGGGCGGTGGGCGGTGGGCGTGGGCGGTGGGCGGTGGGCGGTGGGGGGGCGGTGGGCGGTGGGCGGTGGGCGGTGGGCGGTGGGCGGTGGCGGTGGGGCGGTGGGGGGGGGGGGGGGGGGGGGGGGGGGGGGGGTGGGCGGTGGGCGGGGGCGGTGGGGCGGTGGGCGGTGGGCGGTGGGCGGTGGCGGTGGGGCGGTGGGCGGTGGGCCGGTGGGCGGTGGGCGGTGGGGCGGTGGGCGGTGGGGCGGTGGGCGGGGTGGGCGGTGGCGGTGGGCGGTGGGCGGTGGGCGGTGGGGCGGTGGGCGGTGGGCGGGGGGGTGGGCGGTGGGCGCGTGGGCGGTGGGCGGTGGGGCGGTGGGCGGTGGGGCGGTGGGCGGTGGGCGGGGGGTGGGCGGTGGGGGCGGTGGGCGGTGGGCGGGGGGTGGGCGGGGGGGGGGGGGCGGTGGGCGGTGGGCGGGGGGGGGGGGCGGTGGGCGGGGGGGGGGCGGTGGGGGGGGGGGCGGTGGGCGGGGGGGGCGGTGGGCGGTGGGCGGTGGGGTGGGCGGTGGGCGGTGGGCGGTGGCGGCTGCGTGGGCGGTGTGGCGGTGGCGGTGGGCGGTGGGCGGTGGGCGGTGGGCGTGGGCGGTGGGCGGTGGGGCGGTGGCGGTGGGCGGTGGGCGGTGGGCGGTGGGCGGGTGGGCGGTGGGCGGTGGGCGGTGGGCGGTGGGCGGTGGGCGGTGGGGCGGTGGGCGGTGGGCGGTGGGCGGTGGGCGGTGGGCGGTGGGGGGTGGGCGGTGGGCGGTGGGCGGTGGGCGGTGGGCGGTGGGCGGTGGGGCGGTGGGCGGTGGGCGGTGGGCGGTGGGCGGTGGGCGGTGGGCGGTGGGCGGTGGGCGGTGGGCGGTGGGCGGTGGGCGGTGGCGGTGGGCGGTGGGGCGGTGGGCGGTGGGCGGTGGGCGGTGGGCGGTGGGCGGTGGGGCGGTGGGCGTGGGCGGTGGGGGGGCGGTGGGGGGGCGGTGGGCGGTGGGCGGTGGGCGGTGGGCGGTGGGCGGTGGCGGTGGGGCGGTGGGCGGTGGGGGGGCGGTGGGCGGTGGGCGGTGGGCGGTGGGCGGTGGGCGGTGGCGGTGGGCGGTGGGCGGTGGGCGGTGGGCGGTGGGCGGTGGGGGGCGGTGGGCGGTGGGGCGGTGGGCGGTGGGGCGGTGGGCGGGGGGCGGTGGGCGGTGGGCGGTGGGCGGTGGGCGGTGGGCGGTGGGCGGTGGGCGGTGGGCGGTGGGCGGGGGGGGCGGTGGGCGGTGGCGTGGCGGTGGGCGGTGGGCGGTGGGCGGTGGGCGGTGGGCGGTGGGCGGTGGCGGGGGGGCGGGTGGCGGTGGGCGGTGGGCGGTGGCGGTGGGCGGTGGGCGGTGGGCGGTGGGCGGTGGGCGGTGGGCGGTGGGCGGTGGGCGGTGGGCGGTGGCGGTGCGGGGGCGGTGGGCGGTGGGCGGTGGGCGGTGGGCGGTGGGCGGTGGGCGGTGGCGGTGGGGCGGTGGGCGGTGGGCGGTGGGCGGTGGGGGGGGGGGGGTGGGCGGTGGGCGGTGGGCGGTGGGCGGTGGGCGGTGGGCGGTGGGCGGTGGGCGGTGGCGGTGGGCGGTGGGCGGTGGGCGGTGGGCGGTGGGGCGGTGGGCGGTGGGCGGTGGGCGGTGGGCGGTGGGCGGTGGGCGGTGGGCGGTGGGGGCGGTGGGCGGTGGGCGGTGGGCGTGGGCGGTGGGCGGTGGGCGGTGGGCGGTGGGCGGTGGGCGGTGGGCCGTGGGCGGTGGGCGGTGGGCGGTGGGCGGGGTGGGGCGGTGGGGGCGGTGGGCGGTGGGCGTGGCGGGCGGTGGGCGGTGCGGGGGCGGTGGGCGGTGGGCGGTGGGCGGTGGGGCGGTGGGCGGGGCGCGTGGGCGGTGGGCGGTGGGCGGTGGGCGGTGGGCGGTGGGCGGTGGGCCGGTGGGCGGTGGTGGGCGGTGGGCGGTGGGCGGTGGGCGGTGGGGGCGGTGGGCGGTGGGCGGTGGGCGGTGGGCGGTGGGCGGTGGGCGGTGGGCGGTGGCGGTGGGCGGGGGGGGCGGTGGGCGGTGGGCGGTGGGCGGTGGCGGTGGGCGGTGGGCGGTGGGCGGTGGGCGGTGGGCGGTGGGCGGTGGGCGGTGGGCGTGTGGGCGGTGGGCGCGTGGGCGGTGGGCGGTGGGCGGTGGCGTGTGGGCGGTGGGCGGTGGGCGGTGGGCGGTGGCGGTGGGCGGTGGGCGGTGGGCGGTGGGCGGTGGGCGGTGGGCGGTGGGCGGTGGGCGGTGGGCGGTGGCGGTGGGGCGGTGGGCGGTGGCGGGCGGTGGGCGGTGGGCGGTGGCGGTGGGCGGTGGGCGGTGGGCGGTGGGCGGTGGGCGGTGGGCGGTGGGCGGTGGGCGGTGGCGGTGGGCGGTGGGCGGTGGGCGGTGGGCGGTGGGCGGTGGCGGTGGGCGTGGGCGGTGGGCGGTGGGCGGTGGGCGGTGGGCGGTGGCGGCGTGGGCGGTGGGCGGTGGCGGTGGGCGGTGGGCGGTGGGCGGTGGGCGGTGGGCGGTGGGCGGTGGGCGGTGGCGGTGGGCGGTGGGCGGTGGGCGGTGGGCGGTGGGCGGGTGGGCGGTGGGCGGTGGGCGCGTGGGCGGTGGGCGGTGGGCGGTGGGCGGTGGGCGGGGGCGGTGGGCGGTGGGCGGCTGGTGGGCGGTGGGCGGTGGGCGGTGGGCGGTGGGCGGTGGCGGTGGGCGTGGGCGGTGGGCGGTGGGCGGTGGGCGGTGGGCGGTGGGCGTGTGGGCGGTGGGCGGTGGGTGGGCGGTGGGCGGGTGGGCGGGTGGGCGGTGGGCGGTGGGCGGTGGCGGTGGGCGGTGGCGCGGTGGCGGTGGGCGGTGGGCGCGTGGGCGGTGGCGGTGGGCGGTGGGCGGTGGGCGGTGGGCGGTGGGCGGTGGCGGGGGCGGTGGGCGGTGGGCGGTGGGCGGTGGGCGGTGGGCGGGGGGCGGGTGGCGGTGGGCGGTGGGGCGGTGGGCGGTGGCGGTGGGGGCGGTGGGCGGTGGGGGGGCGGTGGGCGGTGGGCGGTGGGCGTGGGCGGTGGGCGGTGGGCGGGGGGGTGGGCGGTGGGCGGTGGGCGGTGGGCGGTGGGCGGTGGGCGGTGGGCGGTGGGCGGTGTGATGATTAAAACTCAGTGATAACAGTTCTGCCAGCATTATGCTCCTTCTTGTGGGTATCAGCTTGTCATTTAAACTGACTCCTGTAAGTGTGTTTATGTCAGCTCTTCTGTCAGCTAACCACATTCATCTCATACTCCTCTCCTTTTTCCCCATACGTTCCATATGCATCTCAACCCCGTTTTATCCCACTCTACCCCTCCCTTCACCTTCCTTCACACTCTTCCATGTCTCCTGGCTCCTCCGTCCCTCTCCACCTGTCCTCCGTCCTTCCTCACTCCATTCACAGCGCGGCATCAAGTGCTGCTAGAAAGCTAGTCGTCACTGACAGGTATGTGTTCTCTTCTCACCCACCACCTACCAGTCACAAACGTTCCCCTCCCCCTTGCTGACCTATTTCCTCTCTCTTCGCCCTGCACGGGTTGTCTCACTTCCACATCAAGCAAAGCCCATCCGTGCATCCATCGATCCGTGCATCCATGCATCCGTGCATCCATGCATCCGTGCATCCATGCATCCATGTATCCATGCATCCGTGCATCCGTGGTTCCATGCATCCATGGATCCATGCATCCATGCATCCATGCATCCATGCATCCGTGCATCCGTGGTTCCATGCATCCATGCATCCATGCATCCATGCATCCATGCATCCGTGCATCCGTGCATCCATGCATCCGTGCATCCGTGCATCCATGCATCCATGCCTCCGTGCCTTCGTGCCCCTGCTTGCAGTATCATCTTTCCCCGCCCTCATGCTTGAGTCTGCAGTTGCGCTCTCGCCTTTCACCCCCTCCAGTCGTCCAGTCTGTGCAGCACGTGCAGCCGAAGGAAGATAGACCCACTCTAGTGCCTTGTGGCGAATCCAAAAACCATCAATTTCAAACTTGCTCCTCTAACCGTTCCGCTTTCAAATCTCGCTTTCCTCTCTCCCCCTTCCTCTCTCCCCGTTCCTCTCTCCGTCTGCTCCCACCGGGCTGCCCCCGTGCAGTTTGTTCAGCATGGACGGTGACTTTGCTCCTCTGCCCGCCCTGGCGGCTCTCAAGGTCAAGCATGGCTTTCTGCTCGTGCTCGATGAGGTGAGGCGATGAGATGCGATACAAGTGTGGTTTTGAGTGCGTTGCTTGTAGTAAGTTAGACGTTTCAAAACTGCACTTCCAGGCCAGGCATGGCTTCCTGCTCGTGCTCAATGAGGTGAGGAGACGAGATGTGATACAGCTGCAGTTTTAGGAGCCATGAGACGTGGAAGTGAGACGTAGAAGTGAGACGTGGAAGTGAGCCTGCACCATGCTGTGGGCTACCGTTTCCAGCTCACATCCCCTGGCAAAGCCTTCTTCCCTCATGCCGCCATCCCCTGGCTCCTCTCTGTCTGCTCCTCCCATGCGACACCACATGATGTGGACCCCATCTCCATCCCCGCCTCTCATTTCCACGCTACTCTAGTGTGTGTGCGGCAGCGGGGGAGGGGGGAGGGGGGGGAGCAGCGGAGGAGATTTCATAGTCGACTCAGCTCAGATGGCAGCCCCGGCGGGGGAGCAGTGGAGGAGACAGGTGTGAAGGCACCTGGGAACGTGAATCTGTTTCGTCTCGCGTTTCCCCTCATCTCACTCCTCCTCCCTTGCTTCTCTCGCTTGTCACCCCCAGGCACAGGCCACGCTGGAGTGAAGGAGCAGCAGGGGAGGGATGCCCCCACACAGGAGGGGCTCCCCCACGCAGGGGAGGGAGCAGTGGAGGAGATGATTGTGAAGGCAGCAGAGGACGTGCATGTGGGCAGGCTCACCTTCTCCCTGTTCGTCCCCTCTCTTCTCTCCTCTCCTCTTCTCTCCCTTGTGGCATGCAGGCACACGCCACGCTGGTATGCGACAGCACTGGCAGCTGCGCAGCGGAGGAGATGGGTTTGAGAGGGGCCGTGGACGTGCATGTGGTGCCCCCCATCCGGCTGGTCCTCTGTTGTCACCCCGACTCTCCCTTGTCCCATACAGGCACACGCCACGCTGGTGTGCGGCAGCACCGGCGGGGGCGCAGCGGAGGAGATGGGCGTGAAGGGGGCGGTGGACGTGCATGTGGGCACACTCAGCAAGGCTGTGGGATGTCTGGGGGGCTTTATTGCATGCTCGTACGTACGGAGTGCTGGGGGAGGAAGGAAGGGGGGCATTGGGAGTCTATTTTTGAGGCGCCTCAGTAATATACTCACTCAGCAAGGCTGTGGGGTGCCTGGGGGGCTTCATCGCATGCTCGTACGGACTGACTGCTGGGGGAGGAGGGGGGGCAATTGGGTGGAGATACGAGCGGAGGGGGCGGAGGGAGGTGGTTGTTGGCATACCAAGGCAGAGCCCTGATTATGGTTTCTTTGTGTCACACGGCCGCTCATTATTGTCCCCCTTGCCATCTGTATTTTGTCCCCCTTCCCCTTCAAAAAACAACTGTCCCCCTCCCATCCATCTTCTGGCCCCGTTCCTTCGTCTCCCTCACTATTGCCACAGCACTTTCTCTGTATCCCTCCCTGTCTCCCCCATCCACTCCCCTCCCTCCCCTCCCATTCACCCCCACCATTCCACCCTATCACTCACCCCCAGCTCTGACCTGCGTGACTTCTTTGCATCGCGCGGCCGCTCCTTCATTTTCTCCACTGCGCTGCCCGTGCCCGTGGTCGCTGCTGCCAGAGGTGCGTTGAGATGGCACTCTCCCCATGCAGACTTTTGAGGCGACTCAGAGGTGCGTTGAGATGGCACTCTCCCCATGCGGGCAGCGTGAGGTGAGGGACTGCCTCCCTGTGATACCAGACTGGACTTGAGGTGCCTCAACGCTAGACTTGACGTGCCTCAAAGCTAGACTTGACGTGCCTCAAAGCTAGACTTGACATGCCTCAAGGCTAGACTTGAGTTGCCTCAAAATTAGACTTATATCAGATTCTGTAAGGCTTTTGTGAGATCAGACTGTCGCCCTGAAGGTGAGACGCCCTGTGAGGCAACACACCCCCGGAAGACGCCCCTGGCTTCCGAAGACGCCCCCAGCTTCAGAAGACGCCCCCGGCTTCCGAAGACACCCCCGGCTTCCGAAGAGGCCGGCGGATTTCGAAGACGCCCCCGGTGTGGAGGAGAGTGCAGCAGCTTGGGGAGGGCCACTTGGGGGAACCAGCGGCGTTGGTTTTTTAGTCACGGGAAGGCCCCTTCTCTCCCATACCCCCCCAGCGTCCTTGGCAGTAGCAGCGGAGGAGCAGTGGCGGCAGCGGGAGGTGTGGAGGAGAGTGCAGCAGCTTGGAGAGGGTCTGGGGACGGCATTCACCAGCCCCATCTGCCCCATCGTGCTCGGCTCCGCTGACCTTGCCCTGCAGGCCAGCAGGTGAGTCTGCTTTTGAGTCGACTCAAAAGCTTCACCAGCCCCATCTGCCCCATCGTGCTCGGCTCCGCTGACCTTGCCCTGCAGGCCAGCAGGTGAGTCTGCTTTTGAGTCGACTCAAAAGCTTCACCAGCCCCATCTGCCCCATCATGCTCAGCTCCGCTGGCCTTGCCCTGCAGGCCAGCAGGTGAATTTAAGTATTTTGTGCGGTGAGCGGTGAGCGGCGAGCGGTGGCAGTGAGCGGTGTTTGGTGTGCGGTGTTTGGCGTGCGGTGTTTGGCGTGCGGTGTTTAGCGTGCAGTGTTTGGCGTGCGGTGTTTGGCGTGCGGTGTTTGGCGAGCGGTGTTTGGCGAGCGCTGTTTGGCGAGCGGTGTTTGGCGAGCGGTGTTTGGCGAGCGGTGTTCGGTGTGGGGTGTTTGGTGTGCGGTTTTCGGTGTGCGGTGCTTGGCGTGCGGTATTTGACGTGCGGTGCGCAGTGTTCCTTGTGCTCTCGGCTCCATCAGTCATATCCAATGGACGGGATGGGTGGGTGACCGTGAGTGTGTATACCCGTGACTGAACTTCCGGAAATCAGTGCCATTCCATTCCACACCACGCCCACCACGCTCCAGTACCGTGCACTGTAACCCTCTCTCCCCACTATAACCCTCCCTCCCCACTATAACCCTCCCTCCCCACTGTAACCCTCCCTCCCCCCAAGCATCCCCTTCCCCCCCACTCTTCCCCGACCTCTCCCCCCCATCCCCACCCCCCACCACCCAGGCATTTGCTACTCTCTGGTTTCCATGTGCCTGCCATCCGGCCTCCCACTGTTGCTCCTGGGTCCTCACGGTCAGCCCCTCCCTCTATTGTGCTTATTCTCTTGTCTGCGCTGATGAGGGCCTATTGTTGGCCGAAACGCATTCGCACGCGACATCCGGGCCTATTGTGTCTGGCGTTCTGACTTGAGAAATCTTTCTCTTACCTTTCTCGCTGTTAGATCTTAGTTCTAGTCTTAGATCTACTCTTAGGAGGCTTGCTGCAGATCGAATCCTATGTTTTCCCGCATGCAAGGTGACTTTTGAGTCGACTCAAAAGTTTCCTCACGGTCAGCCCCTCCCGCTATTCTCTTTTCTGCGCACATGTGCGCATGCATGCCTGCACGCACCCGGTTTCAAACCATGCGTTTTTTTTGCAAAGTATTCGTGGCTTTATGCATGTGTCGTATGCTCTCCGTCTTGTCCTTCATTGCCGCCCATCAACTCCCCCCCCACCCCCCCCCCCTCCCCATTCCCCGTCCTGTCCCCTTTCCCCTGTCTCTGTGAACCCCCCTATCAGCCTCACACACACACACACACACACACACACACACACACAAACACACACACACACACACACACACAAACACACACACACACACACACACACACACACACACACACACACACAAATATCAAGGAGCCTAATTCTTTGAAAAATCTCCCCTCTCCATCCCCCTCCCCATCCCCCTCAACCTCCCCATTCCCCTCACCCTCCCCATTTCCCAGGCTCCGTGTGGCGCTCTCAGCCTCCCACACACGCGCCCACGTGAGCGCTCTTATCACGGTGCTCCGACCCATCCTCGCCCTCTCCCGCTCCATCTCTCGCACCATACCCCCTCCCCCTGCTCCTTCCTCCTCTCCTTCTCAATCCCCGTCTCTTGGGCTTCAAGGGCAGCAGCAGCAGCAGCAGGGGTGTACAGCAAATGAAGGGGATGGGACAAGTAAGGGTAATGTTAATCGAGCGCGCATGTGATGTGAGATGGCATACCGCCGCTAGTACGGTATATCCAGACACGAGGTGCTTGTTTTTTTAGAATGCTGAAAATCTGGACAGTGTCCGTCCAGTGTTTGTTATGGCTGTTGTACTGTAGTAATCCTGCTTGGTGGAGAGAGATGCGCACGGATATACCAGTCTTCTTGGATGCACTGAACGTTACAATACGACGAACGGCTCATACGAACAGAGGCAGCTCGAGGAGTCTATTTTTGAGGCGCCTCACGAACAGAGGCAGCTCAACATTGGCAGGCAGCACTGCACTAGTAGGTCTTCCATACATACACCACCCCACTCCCCTCCCTGCCACCGGTAGCAGCATCTGCATAAGGTGCCCCTCCCCTACATCTCAGGCAGTGGTGTTTTCTGTTTAGCCCAGAAAGACAGCTTTTGAGACATGCCTCTTCACCCATACAAGCAAGTCCTTTCACAGCGCCGCATCTCGCTGACGAGGCAGCGCAGCTGACTTGAGCACATGATGTCAAACATGTGTATCTCCTATGTTTGCATAGACTGTATAGGGCCACCTCTTAGAGGGTACAACACTTAGGTATATTCACCTGTACTCTCTCTCTACTGATCATTCAGTTCTCATTCTAACATGGTATCACGCATAGGTTAGGATCCCCCACCTACCGCTTCCGCCCGTACCCTAGCTAGGCCCCGCCGCTTCCCCCTGGGCCCCGTCGCGCCCCTCCTGGGCCCCGTCGCACCACTAGCCCAGTCGCGCCCCTACTGGGCCCCGTAGCGCCCCTCCTGGGCCCCGTCGCGCCTCCGGGCCCCGTCGCGACCCCCTAGCCCAGTCGCGCCCCTCCTGGGCCCCGTCGCGCCCCCCCTAGCCTCATCGCGCCCCTTCTGGGCCCCGTCGCGCCCCTCCTGGGCCCCGTCACGCCTTTTGGCCCCGTCGCGCTCTGCCTGGCCCCGTCGCGCCCGCTCGGCCCCGTCGCGCCCTGCCCGGCCCCGTCGCGCCCGCCTGGCCCCGTCGCGCCCTGCCTAGCCCCGTCGCGCCCTGCCCGGCCCCGTCGCGCCCTGCCCGGCCCCCTCTCGCCCGCCTGGCCCCGCCGCGCCTGCCTGGCCCCGCCGCGCCTGCCTGGCCCCGCCGCGCCTGCCTGGCCCCGCCGCGCCTGCCTTGCCCCGCCGCGCCTGCCTTGCGCCCGTCCCAGCCGGCCCCGCGCCCGCCCTCGCGACCTCCGCGCCCGTCTGCTCGACCGGTATGCTGTCTGTACTGAGGCCGCCACTGGTGCCCCCCTGTCCACGTTCCCCCGGGACCCGGTGTCCGGCCTGTTCACTCTGGACACCGTGACCCCCCCGGCTGGGGCGCCCCCTCAGGTGGCTGCGTCTACCCAGGTTGCTGCTGCCTGCTCTTGTCGGTCCCTCACTCACCCGACTCTCCTTTGGCACCACCGCCTAGGTCATCCTGCGCTCCCGCGTCTGCGTCACATGTCCCAGCACGGTCTCGTCCTTGGTCTCCCTGGTTCTCTCCCCGCTTTTCCCTCCTCCCCAGCCCCACCTTGCACGCCTTGCGTCGAGGGTCGGCTTCGCCATGCCCCTCACTCCTCCTCGTTTCCCCCTACCGCTGCGCCGCTGCAGACCCTGCACATGGACGTCTTGGGCCCCGCCCCCGTCCATGGGCCGCGTCGAGAGCGCTACTTCCTTATGCTTGTCGACGACTTCACTCGCTACACCTCGGTCTTTCCCCTGGAGCGGAAGGCCGACGTGCCTGCCGCTCTCATCCCCTGGCTTGTCTCTGCCCATGTCCACCGAGGTCTCCCTGTCTTGCGCCTTCACTCCGACCGTGGTGGCGAGTTTGCCTCAGGTGTCCTTGGTCGATTTTGTCGTGCGGAGGGCATCACCCAGACGTTCACCCTACCGGACTCTCCACAGCAGAATGGGGTCGCTGAGCGACGCATCGGTTTGGTCATGGAGGTGGCTCGCACCTCCATGATCCATGCCGGTGCACCCCATTTTCTGTGGCCGTTCGCTGTGCGCTACGCTTCTCACCAGCTTAACCTGTAGCCGCACCCCCAGCAGCGGTTTCGCCGACCCGTCTTTGGACTGGGTCTCCTGGTGACGCGTCTGCGTTCCACGTCTGGGGCTGTCTTGCTCACGTCCGTGCCTCCGGCACGGACAAGCTCACTGCCCGCACACTTCCCTGCGTCTTCCTGGGTTTTCCCCTTAACGCGTCCTCTTGTTCCTCGGGTCCTTGCCTCTCTCGTTACCGACCCGTCTGTTCCGGTCTCGTGCCTTGACGCTCTTGTTGCTGCGGTCGCTGACTTCGCCTCTACCCGCCGCCTTGACTACGCCACCGCTCTGGTCTCTGACCCTGCCTGTCCTTCGTCTGTCGGGGGTGCTCCTGCCCTCGGCAGTGACGTCCTGGAGGACCGCCAGTTCGAGCTTGCTTTCCTGTCTGAGGCTGCTCCCCATCTCTGTTCCATGCTGCTAGTCCCTGAGGGTGACCCAGACGCTTTCGACATCCCGACCCCTCGCACTTACGCTGAGGCGACCTCGGGACCTTGGGCCTCGCAGTGGATAGCTGCCATGGAGCAGGAGATGGCATCTTGGAGATCCACCGGCACCTTCGTCGACGCAGTTCCCCCACCTGGTGTGAACGTAGTCGATGGCCGCTGACTCTTCAAGGTGAAGCGCCCTCCTGGAGAGTCGCCTGGCTTCAAGGCGCGCTACGTGGCTAGAGGCTTCAGTCAGCGTGAGGGGGTGGATTTCTTCCAGACCTTCACTCCGACCCCGAAGATGACTACTCTTCGGGTTCTGTTACACCTAGCTGCTCAGCGTGACTACAAGTTTCACTCCCTCGACTTCTCCACTGCCTTTCTTCAGGGCAGCCTACACGAGCAGGTCTACTTGCGTCGCCCTCAGGGCTTTACTGGCACCTTCCCTCCTGGGACCCAGTGGCTCCTGCGGCGCCCCGTCTACGGCCTGCGCCAGGCTCCCCGTGAGTGGCACAACACGCTGCGTGCTACCCTTGCTGACCTGCAGTTCTTTCCGTCTTCCGCAGACCCCTCACTCTTCGTTCGTGCTGGCCAGACTCCGTTCTACATCCTTGTTTACGTCGACGACCTGGTCTTTGCCACAGCAGACAGGGACGCACTGGCCTCAGTGAAGGCAGAGCTGCTGAAGAGACACACGTGCACTGACCTTGGAGAACTGCGTCGTTACCTTGGCTTGCAGATCTCCAGGGACAGAGCATCGCGCACCATCACCCTGACTCAGTCACACTTGGTGCGCCAGGTCCTTCAGATGTTCGGCCTTCAGTTCTCCTCTACACAACCCACCCCTCTGCCTGTAGACCACAGACTCTCCGCTCCAGTTTCTGAGGAGTCGGTAGAGCCCAGCGACCCCTACGTAGAGCTGGTGGGTTGCCTCATGTACCTGATGACTTCTACTCGCCCAGATCACGCATACCCTCTCAGCATCCTGGCTCGTTTTGTGGCCACAGGCAGACACCGACCGCAGCACTGGTCTGCCGCTAAGAGGGTTTTGCGTTATCTTGCTAGTACATCGGGCATGGGGATAGTGCTAGGAGGACGCAGGCCAGTGGTCCTTATTGGACACACAGACGCTTCGTGGGCAGACGACGCCGAGACACTCAGGTCTACCCAGGGCTACTGCTTCAGCCTTGGTTCAGGTGCCGTCTCGTGGAGAGCTACCCGCTCCTCGTCTGTTGCCTAGTCCAGCTGTGAGGCCGAGATCTACGCTGGTGCCATGGCGGCACAGGAGCTCCACTGGCTGGCCTTCTTGCTCACTGACTTAGGTGAGCGGCCTAGCTCTGCCCCGGTCCTGTTCGCTGGCAACAGGGCTATGATCCTCCTGTGTCAGGAGCCTCGACTCGAGGGCAGAGCGAAGCATATTCAGCTGCGGTACTTCCTCCTACATGAGCTACAGCAGCGACGCCTGGCTCGCGTTGTACACTTGGCCTCAGGTGCCAACACAGCTGATATCTTTACGAGGGCGCTTGCGCCTAAAGATCATCAGCGGCACTGTGTACAGCTTCGTCTATTTCCTGTAGCCTCTCACTTGCTAGAGCCTTGACTTTGTACTGTCCTTTATATGTGTACTCAGACTGGACTTGTGTCCTCTCCCAGTGGCTGGACTAGTAGTGCCGCCCTGGTCTTCTTCTTGCCTTGTCTGTACTCCTTCTGACTGGTCTTTTAGACCCTTGTCTCAGAGGCTGGACTAGTAGTGCCGCCCTGAGCTGCTTGTTCAGGACATGCCCCTATGCAGTCTAGGGGGTGTGTCAAACATGTGTATCTCCTATGTTTGCATAGACTGTATAGGGCCACCTCTTAGAGGGTACAACACTTAGGTATATTCACCTGTACTCTCTCCCTACTGATCATTCAGTTCTCAACTTCTCATTCTAACACAGAACAGGAACTCTATTTGATAGAAATAATCAGCTTTAATAATCAAGGACTCGCCATTAGGCCTCATACGAGTGCAATTACACGCACGGCATGGCGCCGAGCCGAGCATAATACAGTCTAAATTGATAGGGCACAGGCACAGCACAGCAGTATGTATGGACGGACGACAGTCCTTCAAGAGCGTTTATAAACAGACAGCAGACACCAGTACCTTACACACAACCCCACCAACCAAGTGCCAGGCTTCCAGGCTCCAGCCAATCCAATGGCCATACAGTGCCCTGCCCACCCACCCCACACCCGACTCGATCGTAGAATCGAGCCGAGGTATGTTGGAATGCAATCCGACTCTTGCAGGCTGACGATCTCCTCGTCTAGCCTCCTGAAACCTCCAGACTCCCCCAGACTCCTCCAGACTCCTCCAGACTCCTCCGGGCCCAGTCACCTCATCAAGTGAAGATTGGGACCACGGCAGTGCTCACCAGGTGCACCACCAGCGTATCCCCCACAAAGAAGTTCGGCCAGATGACGATCGACGGAAACCCCTGGTGCCCCATCAGCACCACCAGCGGAAACCCCTGCCCGAAGATCTTCACAACGGTCTGGTTCCCCAGGTACGTCCGGAACTGCGACATCCACCCTGCGACGCGCATGTTGTCGTAGCCGTAGATCCCGTCGAGCATGTGGTATGAGGCCACGGTGGCTAGCTGCGGCGCGTTGAGTACCGTGAGCGCGCCCGCCCAGACCAGCCCATCCATGGGGAAGAGAAGGGTCGTCGGGCCGCCGTTCTGCGTAACCGCGTTGACTGCAGGGGGGGGGGCGCGGGAGGGCGGGGCGCGGGGTGAGGGGAGGGAGGCGGGAGGGGAGGAAGGGGGGGGAGGAAGAGGGGGTGAGAGGAGGGAGACAAAAGGAGGATGTCAAGTACGGTGCTTGGAACAGATAGATTGTACACAAGCGATCCCGGGCCAACCCCCTTACCCCCTCAGAGCGTCACGACTCCCCTCCCCTCCCCTCCCCCCTTCCCGCGCTCTGTCCCTCACACAGACAGACCCCCACGCATACACAGACGCCTCCGACGCTCTCCTTCCTCTCGCAACCTCGACAGTGCACGACATGCGTGTCCTCGTGTCGTGCCCCAGACCTCACGCAACGCGCACTATCGAATGGCAAGCTACCAACCAAGCATACACGCGCGGATAACACACCAAAAGCGCATCCCATCCCATCCCATCCCATCCCATCCCATCCTCTCCCCTCCCCTCCCCTCCCCTCCCCTCCCCTTCCCTCCCAATCCTCGCGCCGAGCCCCACCAGCCCTGCGACAACGTACTGAACGACTCGAACGCGTCGCCGAGGCCCGAGATCGCTTCGCCGATGCCGCTGAAGAATCCCTGAATGCCCTGGATGATGCCGTCGATGCTAATATCGATGCAGATCCACCCGTTGCACTGGTCCGACGCCGACTTCTTCACCGGCTTTCTGCTCCTCCTGCTGCTCGTCACCGACGCCGTTGACGCCACGGACGCGGTTGACGCAACCTGCTGCTGCGACGTCGAGTCGCCGTTGTCCGCGCTGGATCGGCTTCCGGCTCCTGCGGCTCGGCTTGGAGATAGCATCTCGAGGACCTTCTTAATCTCCTCCGCTTGTTTCGCCTGGAAGGCTGCCGGGTCCGCGGTGTAGCTTAGCTTCGACTGCTTCGGGTTCACTTTCGCACCGCCCCGGAAGAGCCCGTTCTTTTTAAGCACGTTCACGGAGGAAACCACGCCGCGCGCGACGTTCCTCAGCGCGTTTTGCGGCTTCGTTATGTTCTTCCCCGTTTTCGCGACAATCTCGTTGACGAGCTTCATGGCGGCGCTCTCAAGCGATAGGAGCTTCGACTTGGCGTCTAAGATCGCCCGCGAGTCTTTACCGAGCCGTTTCATCCCGTCCCGCGCGCGCCGCGACGAGCTGTCGAACGCGTCCTTGACGTCCTGCGAAAAGTCGTTACTCTGCTTCGCGAAAGAGGCGCTGGCGAGGAGGGCGAGGAGGAGCAGCGCGAGGGTTTGTCGCACGGACCCGCGGGAAAGGAGTCTGCTTTGCGCCATGGAGACGAGGTGAGGCGACGCGAGAGGAGAGGAGGCGAGAGGAGAGGAGAGGAGAGGAGAGGGCAATGTTTTGGCCTAAAATGGCCCGGAGGTACAGTGGAGATGCGGTTTCGATGGGAGAACGGAGCGAGAGAACGGGGTGGAGAGAGGCTAGGGGGGTGGCGGAGGGCACTACAAATAGGAAGCAACGGCTCCCTTGGGTCGGCTCGACGATTAGGTTAACGCTAGGAAAGGGCAGGGAACGGGTTATACGGGGCGCTGCGTTGACTATGGCGGTTGGAGAGGGGGTTGCACGAGTTGTGCAGGTCACAACGGTTGCGCTGACCGCAGCAAGAATAATCGATTTGCACGCTCGTGCGGGTCGGCTTCAGCGCAAATACGGCAAATACTGTTCGCTTTGGGAAAACGTCCTTGTTGGCGGAGTAGCTGGTGCCAGACGAGGAAACGAGAGAGAGAGAGAGACGGAGAGAAATTGCGTGCAGGGAGATCGCTGATGGAACTAAAACCTAAGTGTGGCGCAAGGGAGGTGTCAGCGTGAAGAGTGGTGAAACGCTTGGAGAAGGGCGCAGAGAAGCAGCCACCATAGATGCAAGAACGGCAGATTTCGGTTCGGAGTCCTCGTGCTAGAGCTGTTCGGCCATGCCGTTACGGTTGAGGGGAGCTAGGAAGCTGGGGGCACCAGAAACCAGAGGGGGCCCCAAGAGGGGCTAGCTGGAGCGGTGAGGGGGGCAGTAGCGACAGGGGCGAAGGGGAGCGGACGTAGCGAGTAGCTACTGGCGAATGGCGAAATAGGAATATAGTTTTTTGCGCCGAGCAAACGCCGTTCGCCAATCGCTCGCCCGTCGTCACCCAATCGCGCGTCAGCCCACTTGGGTGGCGGAATTCTGCACGAATGTTCCACAGCATTACGCCCTACCCCCCCTACGCCAATTTCTTTTCCCACGACCGCTAGGCTTACCCGTCAGGAAAACTCAGGGGCGTCTTGTTGCTGCCCAGCTGGACGGGCAGCTTTGCGAGGAGATCAGGTGGAAGAATGGAGTGAAACGAGAAACGAGTTATCGGCGGTTGTCCGTTTCGTTACTACTGTCAGTCTCTGCGAATCTGATTGGCCGAAAGTATTTGTAGCCTTGTGCGATGATGCAGGACGTGTGCTGTGGAGACGAAAACCTGGCCGAGGAACAAACTTCGAGGCCCATACATATCGTCGTGTGGTAACTTGTCTCTTTGCGAGGAAAACACCTTCCGAACGCGCCGACAGATCTCGCGGCGCAGATTACTTCAGATTGTCCATCTTTGATCCAGGGCTTTTGAAAATTTCCCAGGTACCTGTCTTGGGATGACGCGTGCACCTGAAGTCAAGGCTATACTCTCTGCGATTCGGCTACAGTATTCCACATAAAATCTCTGGTCCCACCGAGGTCGCGGCGAGCCCATTTGGCGGTTTCAAATACTCGCTAAAACGCCAACCCTTGTAGTAGTAGGTCATACCAAGCGAAATTCATGCACCATAGGTCCATAATTCAGTAATCCTTTACATGGCCATGCTGCTAGAAATATTCACACTAAAAAGGCTAAATGATGGAAAGCACATGACATTTTAGTTACGTTCTTTATTCACTGGCTAATATCAGTCTTTTTCCCAGTGTCATACATTGTCTTTCAGGTTGTACTGCTAGCGCCATCAAAATTCTGCACGCACCATTGCAATCGCCACCACCACTGATAGTTGGATACATGGAGTGTCAAACATATTTGTATATGTCATTACAGGCTAGATAGGTGCATGCTCTTAGAGGGTACAACACACTAGTACAAACTCACCCTGTACCTCCCATTCTAGTTAATATTTCTACGCTAACATGGTATCACGATAGGTTAGGATACCGCCCACCCACGCTTCCGCCCTAGAACTAGACCTAGACCTAGCCGCCCGCTGCTAGCTGCCCGTAGCCGCCCGTCGCGTAGCGCCCGCTGGCCCCGATTGCCAACCCCGTGCCTGCTGGCCCCGCGCCCGCTGGCCACGCATTCGCAAGCCCCGCGACCGCCAGCCCAGCGCCCGTCGGCCCCGCACTCGCCAGCCCCGCGCCCGCTGGCTCCATGCCTGCTGGCCCCGCACCCGCTTGCCCACGCTCGCTGGCCCAGCTTTCGCCAGCCCCACGCCCGCCAGTCCCGTGCCCACTAGCCCCGTGCCCGCCAGCCCCGTGCCCGCTGGCCCCACAATCGCCCGCCCCGCGCCCGCCAACCCAGCGCCCAGCGCCCCCGCGCTCGCCAACCCTGCGCCCGCTGGCTCCGTGCCTGCTGGCCCCGCACCCACTTGCCTGCTCTCGCTGGCCCCGCCTTTGCCAGCCCCGCGCCCGCTAGTCCTGTGCCCGCCAGCCCCGTGCCCCTCGACCCCACAATCGCCAGCCCGTGCTTGCTGGCCCGGCGCCTGCCGGCCCCGCACCCACTGACCCCGCGCCCGCTGGCCCATGCCGCCGTGCCGTGGAGAGCCGTCGTGCTGCGGCGCCGCCGTGCCGTGGTGCCACCGTGCCGCAGTACCGCCGTCCCGCCATGCCACCATGCCGCCGTGGAGCCATGCTGCTGTAGCGCCGTGCCGTCGTGCCGCTGTGTCGCCGTGTCGTTGTGTCGTCGGGCCGCTGTGCCGCCGTGTAGCTAACATCGTAGGATGGCGTACGCTGTGCTCTGCCTGGACGCGGAGGGGCGGGCGATCAACTTCGGGGCGTGGCTCGTCGACCTTCGGCGTCACCTGACAGGTCAGTGCCATGACGGTTACTCCCTGGCTGTTCATGTTGATGGCATGCTTCCCCGCACTGCTGCGCCTGCTGACGCCCTCCACCTGTCTAAGCGTCCCCACTTTACCACTATTGCGAAAGCCAAGGAATTCTTAGATGCAGTTGTTGCGTACTATTCCACGCCCGCCTCCGCCTCGGCTGACTGCCTAATCCTCCCCATCCTGTTCCCTGATCTTGCATCCTTCCCCACTGTTGCCGATCTTGCCACTCACCTCCGCGCACTTGAGGCTAGCCACCGCGCCGCTAGCACTAAAACTCAGCTCACTACCTTTCCGCCGCCGCTTTGCGCTACCCTTTACCTCATTGTCACGCGCCTTCCAGGCCACCTAGCCACCGCCTGCGACCACTTCGTTAGTCAGGACCTATGTGACCTCACCCTTACCGCCTTTGTTACCGCCCTGTCCGCGATAGAGACCCGCCAGCGCACTATCGCTCAGTCTAGCAGTATTGCGACAGTCCATATCTTTCACGGCTGTGCTCCCTCCTAGTGCACTTACTCTGACATTTCTGACGTTGTCGTTGAGACAGCCCCTGCTGCAGAAACCGCCGCTGCGGCCTCAGCGCAGCCATGTCAGGGTAGGGGCCGTCGCCCCAAGGGGGGGCGTGGCAGCAGAAAGAGAGGTGGGGGTGGTGGAGGTGGGGGCGGGGATGTTGGTTCGGACGAGGGGACTGGGGCTGGTGCCCCAGAGCAGTAGCAACAGCAGCAGCCTCAGCAGCAGCCGCCGCAGCAGCCGCAGCAGCAGTCGCCGTGGGGACCCCCGCCGCCGTGCTGGACTGGCGGCGCTGGTGGTGGTGGACGTGGTGGTGGGGGGGCACAGTTTGGTGTCTGGTGGCGGCTCCAGTGTGGTCACCTACCAGTACTAGCTTCAGTCCGGCCCCCACCGTGGCACCATCTCGGTCACACTGCCGCTCGCTGCTACCACCGCCTCAACGACCTCTTCTGTTTCCGCTTCGGTCCCACGTCGGACCCCCTTGACTGGTACAATGACGGAAGAAACTGTCCATATCTTGAACCTTTGAGAGATTAAAATGCATGTGTATTTTCAATACAGACTTTTAAAAACAGTTGGCTTTCATTTATTAGTAGACTGCCTCATGAGCAAGAAGAGCACATGTCATGCAGCCTGAAAGGGCATGTTTATTATGCAAAACCAAAATCAACATTCACCAAGTAGTATTCGGACAGTTTTGGCCAGATTCAAAGAAAGCAATTAACAATCCAAGATCAGTACCTAGTCCATCTCCCCTTTTCCCTAACCACTGCCTTCACCCTCCTCGGCATACTGTTAATGAGCCCCCTGCACACATCCGCCCCAATCCCATCCCATGTCTCTTACACCCGCTCCAAAGTCTGGAGCATCCATGCGGGGAGAAGCTCATACTTGGCAAGCTCTCTTTGGAGGTGTGCCCACAAGTGCTCTATGGGGTTGAGATCAGGGGAGGAGGAAGGCCACTTTAGGACTGAATATTGCTGTTCAGACAGCCAAGCTTGCACAAGGTGGCTCTTGTGCTTGGGGTCGTTGTCATGCTGGAAGATGACATCCGAGGGGGTTAGATTATAGAAATCGATGGTTTGTGCAAGCTCATCACGCAATATGCTTCTGTATAGCTCCCCATCCATGCGGCCGTCAATCTTACACATGCATCCTGGGCCATCATAAGTCATGCACCCCCGTACCATTAATGATCCGCCCCCATGCTTGACGGTTTGCTGCACTTGGTGACCTTGCAGGGCCACCCCGTTGCTAATCCGCGCGTACTTGCGGCCATCACTGGAAAAGCGATTGATCTTGGTCTCGTCGGACCACATCACCTACTTCCAGTCTTCCATAGTCCAGTCAAGGTGCGCCCTGGCGAAATCGAGGCGGTCTCTGATGTTATGGGCAAAAAGTCGCGGCTTCTTTGGTTTCTGCACGGCTACTAAACCAGAATGCTTCAGGGCGTTGCGCACGGTTCTAGGGCAGATCTTGATGATGCGCTCTGATTCTAGTAGTTTCGCAGCTTCTATGCTAGTCTTTGCATGGTCAGAAGTGACTGCTCGAACCAGTGACCACCTATCACGTACCGAGAGCATGCGCGGTCGGCCGTTTCTAGGAACAATCGGCCTGACCGCTAGGCTACTCGTGTGCTGGGCGGCTTCGTGTGCGTATTTCTGTACCGTGCTCTTCCCTATTCTTAATGCCCTAGCGATTTGTCAAAAACTTTGACCCTGTCGAACCAGTACCGCGATCCTATATTTATGGCTCGAAAGAAGCGGTCGCATCGTCGCAAGGAGCTTGGCGTAGTTGCCACTGTACTATCGAGAAAAAAAGGGAAGCTTAGGTTGTGAGATCGCAAAATGCACGCAGGAAAGAGAACTGGACTCAATGTTGGCCTAAAGTGTCCGCATCGAGTGACGTCCGCATATTATTGTACTCTTTACAAGAAACTTGATTAAAGGTATAATACCCAAGTGCATTAAGCAGTTGAGGTCAAGATGCACACTATGCAATGTGGTTTTACTGAGTTATGACAACATATCATGCCTAAATCACGTCTATCTACTGGAATGGATTATTAAGCCCACTTATTTCTGTCACTGTATGCCCTGGTCAGTGCTGATCTTTGGTTTTTCACTACTCTGAAATCTGAAAGCTTCTTTCACCATTACTCTGAAAACTAGAGTGGTCCTCAACATTTTCCCTGAGGCATCAGGGTAACCCCACAATTTCAATATTTTTACTCTGGCTAAACAGGGGGGTATTTTTTCTGGCTCTGGTGAATGCTAGTCGCAGAGTAAAATAGTGACAGCAACAGTTGTTTTAGTAATAAAGCATAGCACAATATTACATAACTAATAATCATCATCCACGTTGTCATCCTCACTCCCACCTCCGACACTCTCATCGTCTGAGCTCTCTACAACATCCTTCTGCTGTGGGAAGAGGGGAATTTCCTGCTCAAATTCAACATTCGTAGCTTGCCTACGGTGCCTAATGCGCCTCCACTTCTCCACGATCTGGGGGTAGTCCATGTCGTAGTCCAGCATGCTAATGGTCATCAACTCACCAAGGGTGGCATCGCACAGGCTTGTGCGATGCCATCCTTTGATGACATTCTGCCGTGAGAATCCGCGCTCGCACTCGACGGTGCTCAAGGGCAACACCGCCAGCGCCTGCCACATCCGCATCAGGTTCGGGTACGACTTGGACCAGTCCTTCGTCTTCTTCATATTGGCCAAACCCTGGGCGAAGTCGTCGTCCTTGCGATGAGTCTTCATGATGTGGCAAAAGGTCTTCAGCTCCAACTCCATCGCTCGCAGTTCGACTCCTTTTGGCGGGGAGGGAGGGGGGGGGTAGGGGCGTTCATGGCACGAAAAGGAGGTGTTGAAGTAACAGAGGAGACACCGCATCTAACCAGATTCAAGACATACGACAGGACCTCTTTTAGAGCCATTGACCTGGCAGCTTGTTGTCAAACAGCGCCATATTCTGTTCAGCCCACTTGCGGCACCGGCGCTCCTGCACCTCTGTCTTCTTGGGCCACTGGTCCACCTTGTAGAGCTTTGACCCCTCCATCCGCTTCATGTCCCACAGCCGCCCCTCCAACCACCCCACTGTCTCCTTGGCGAACGCCGTGCAAAGGTCTTCGCAGTCGGAAGGAGTGCCGCCGAACGCATGTCCCGGGATGCGCGATAACGTGAGCTCGAACTTGTGCGTGCAGGGAGAGCCATCCGCCGCGATGCCGTGCACCTCGAGCGACCCCTTGCCCTCCTTGTAGCGGGCGAGGAACTTGTCGAGCTGCTTGCTGAGCCCGCCGCCAAACCGCTCCCCGTACTCGATGTATCGGTGCTTGATGTAGGTGACAGTGCGGTCGACCTCTTGGGTGACGAGCGTGATGTCCACCTGAAGGTTGGGGCGGGAGGGCAAGGGCAAAGGACAGGATGTTAGAACAAGTTTCATGCTAGACACACGCCCAAGATATTAATGAACTCAATGAGTTGCGACAGGAACGAAAAAGATTCAACTTACCGTGCGGCGCTGGAAAAACCTGTTCAGAGTGTTGAGCTCAGCGAGGATGTCGGCGAGGAAGTTGAGGCAGAAGTGGAACTTGAAGGACTTCAGAAGCGCAACGTGCTTGTGCTTGTACTCGATGAAGACGACGATGACTGCGCCGAGAATCCTGCAGAGTCGCCGCACAGCGTCACCACGTGCAAGCCACCTTATGGCGTAGAGCCCCTGATGTTCGAGGTTCGTGTCGTGGATGACAAGCTGCAGAGCTTTGAACCTTTCGTACCACGGAGTCGAGCGACCGACGATTTCCCCGAAAGCTCGGATGATAACGTCGACGATGAACAGGTCGGGGAAGGAGTTGGAGGCGTCTTTGACCGCCAGCGCTTCTCTGCGATGGCACCAAGGCACAAGTGAGATTAGAAACATGCATGGATAATCATAGAGACATGGACAGGAGGGTACTGCGACGGCAGTCTTACCGATGTGCGATGCAATGGCAACCGACAAGGTGCGGGATACGCAGTCGGAGTCGAGCGACGAGCCCGTTCTTCTCGCCGGTCATCACCGATGCCCCATCGGTGCTAATACCGGCGATCTTTTGAAGCTCAATGCCACTCCCTTCCAGGTGACCCAGCAGGACAGACTGGAGCGACGCAGCATCACACTTGTCGATGGTGAGCAGGCTCAAGAACTCAGTGACGACGCGCCGCTTCTTTAAGAAGGTGCCGAAGACGATGAGGTGCTTTCCGCGGGTGCGGTCGGTACTCTCGTCGCAGCTGATGCCGATGAACGGGGAGGAGTGGATGTGCTCCATCTGCTGTGCCTTCAAGAAAGCCACCATGGCTTTCACCATCTCCCTGAATCCATACCTGCGACAAACACCGTACAATAAGACATCAGATTAGACATCAGTCCCGTATTCAATACACTATACAAACACGAAAACAGTGCGCTTACTTCGTGATGTACGCGCCGTAAGTCTGCTTGGGTATGTCCTTCACCCCCTCCTGCGACAGGTGACCGATTAGACGTGTGAACATTGAAATCGGAGCATCTTCCTTACAGATGAATAGCATGGAGCGTAGAAGTCTGATGACGCGGGCGGCATCGGGGTCGTTCTTGGCGAAGTCGTCCATGCGCTTCTGGCTCTCGATTTCCTTGTCAAGGTGAGCTTGCTTCTGCACGCACGCCTCATGCTTGGTGCTCTCCTCGTGCCACCGCATGCTGCCAATCTGTAAGTCCCTGCCGCCAGGCCCATCGCGACCGTAGCGGGCTGTCGGCTTGCCATGCTGCATGCACACACTGCAACGTAAACAGGGTGAGCCATCGTCAGTTTTATCCAAGACGAGCCAAGGAAACCTTCCATGCCAATCTGAGGTATATTTCTTCTGAGCAGCAAGATAAGCTTTGGCCTTCATCTCGGCCGACGTTGGTGCGAGGGGTCGCTCTGCTTCAACGACGGGGGCAGGGGTTGCTGGCGGCGTTATCTTGGGAGGAGGCGCGAAGGGCAGATGTCTCTGCTGGTATCGTCGTCTCTTCTTAGCCGACGATGTTGATGCAGATGCCGGCGACGAGGGCACAGGATCCGGAGGTGGAGGATCTGCCGGCTTGTCAACCGACAGATCCGCCTCTTCCATTTCACGCTCCCATTCGTCGCTGCTTAGACTCGGGAGCGGCAGAGGCTCTACTGGGGGGGCGGTAAGTCGACGCTTTGGGAACGGAGGAGGGTCTACTGGGGAGGCGTTTGTGCGACGCAAAAAGTCTAAACCGCTGAGTGGGGTCGAGCTACGTGGGGGTGGGGCGTCATCCTCATCCTCCCCGCCATCGTCGGCATCGCCCAGGCCAGCCATAGCTGGCGAGGCGGGACGACGAGAGGATTCGAGGCTGGCGGAATAGATCACGTTCGACGAGATGTGAGAGAGGGTTGCTAAACTGGTACACTAGCGCCTACTGCCGATGTATAACAGGGGGAGAAGAACAGGGTGAAGAAGACGATGCTTTTCTCGCCTGTTCTTGATGCCCGTGGCACCATCGACATGAAGGTTGGGTGCCTTCCTGAGCCATCCTGAACATTCGAGAAGGGCATATGCCCGCGCGTGCGGGGAAAGATTCCCGCAGTGTTGCATGCCTGTCGATGTGCGTGGCTGCAAAAAATGACGAAGGGGCCAATCAGAGGCACATACACGTACAGCGAGTACAAGTGTGGCAACAGTCGACGTGGTAAACTCGGGTGTGGCGCCGAAACCTGCGTAAAAAATACACTAGTGTCCAATAGGAGAGAAGGTTATCTGCCAGCAAGGGTGGGTCTGGCAACATATGACGTGGGCCAGCTCGGCGGTCTGCGTGAACAAGGCGAGGAAATGGGGGCATGTATGTGGACAGGGGGGGTACACGAAAATACGGGGGTATCCCCCTTACAGTAAACCCCTCAGGGTGGTAAAAAAAAAAAACCCTGGCTTATCAGAGAAAACATAAAATCTAAGAAATTTACCCAGAGGCGTAAGGGTGGTACACAAAATCAACTCTGAAAATCAGAGAATCAGAGTAATTTACTCGTGAAAAATAGGGACTGGCCCTGGTGCGCCGCCGTGTGCCTCTCTCTAAGCTTAACATAGATCAGATTAGGTTTGCTATGTATGTCATGTATGTTGATGACTCTAGTGTGACTGGACCCCATTCCCCAGTATTGCCTAGTATAGGTGTGTCCACTGTGTGTAGCCTTGTTTCCCCTACTGCGTCGGGCGTAGGACCCCCTGCCTTGTCTAGCATCGGCTCCACGCTAGTCCCTCCGCCGGCTGACCCTACTACTTTGCTCTCTTTCACGCTCGACTGAGGAGCGTCTGCCTGCTTCTTCCACGACCACACTGCGCTCATGCCGCTTGCCGCCCCTGTCGGTGCCGCACTTGCTGACCCCTCCTCAGGTCCGGTAGCTCCACCACCCTTCCCTGTTCAGCGGTCCCCTCGGGTTCTCTTACAGACATGCACATCCCCTCGTTCTCCAGGGATCTAGTTGGTGTCAGCTGTCTTCAGGACCTCGGCATCACCACTATGTTCCCCGGACACGAGCGGTACGCGGTCTGTACCGAGGCCGCCACTGGTGCCCCTCTAACCACGTTCCCTGGGGCCCATGTGTCTCGCCTGTTTACGCTTGACACTGCGTCCCCCTCGATGAGGGCATCCCCCCATGTGTCTGCGTCGACCCAAGTTTGTCACAGGATCGAATGTGTCGAGGAAAAGTTGCACTATCGATTGATACAAGGCGCTTTTATACTTCCAAAGTACATCAGGTAACCCGGTTTATCCTATCCAAAGGGAAAAGACCCTTCTAGAAATAGAATCACCCTGCGTATAGCCACGCAAGGCTATTTGGCTTTAAGGGATTACAACAGGATCACGCTAGATATTGCGCACCAGTACATCCCGAGCCTGGTTGGTGATATAATTATAATAACAAGATAAACCAAAGGACAATGGAATAGGAGAATTAGGAAACCAAATGAGATGAGAGAAAAAGATGAATGAAATAGAAAGGCAGCGGGGCTGGAGCAGCAGGGTCGGGGTCGAAAAGGGTCAGGAGCTGGCCCAGCGAGGCGGGGAGGGTTGGAAGGAGGGCACTGAGCAAATGCGCAGCAGCGGCCATGGAGGTGAGATATGCTGCTCCAGCCTCCGCAGCAGGGTTACAAATCCCAAGCCCACCGAGGGTGGTTGGGAGGGAGGCTTGCGTCCACACCTACTGCCTCTCGGTCCTGGTGCGGGGGAGCGGCAAACGGCAGGCAGCCAACGCCGTGTGGAAGAGCCGCTCGCCCCAGGCATCCCACTCCGCCTGGGGGAGGCATTCCTGGGGGGTCGAACGGAGCAGGTGGCTAGCGCGGCGGGCGAGGCAGCGGGAGAGGAGGAGGAGGGCGATCTGGGGATCCGACTCCACGATCAATGGCAGTGGGGCCGCGCCGGTGTCGAGGCGGTCGCGGATGGCAGCTGCACAGGTGTCCACCGGCCCCATGGGACTGCCGAGGACGCGCAGACACGTGGCGCTGGCGGAGACACCAGGAGGCAGCGTCTCGGGTGTCACACCCTGTGGGCCCCAGGCTTCATACTTCGCTGGGTTGTGGCGGAGGCCGCAGCCGCCAATGGGGGTGGTGAGGTGGGCGAAGGCAGCGGAGCACGCTGATGGCGGACTTAAGAGCGTGACATCGTCCGCATAGGCGAGGACGAGGACGTCAGGGAAGGCGGCGGCAGTCTCCTTGAGCGCGGGGTGCAGGCCCGCCGCAAACAGCAGAGGACCCATAGGGTCCCCTTGGCGGACCCCGCGTGCACTAGCGAGGGGGGGGGAATCGAAGCCATGGTTGACATGGAGGGCGGAGGGGCCACCATTAGAGAGCCGGACGAAGGGGACGAGGAACTCCAAGGGTGATCCGCGGAGCCCCGCGAAGACGGCAGCGCGCTCGATCGCGTTGAACACGTTTGAAACACCGATTTGGAGAGCGATGTGCCCCGAGTTGATGTCGAGATAGGCACGGGTGATGTGGATTATCACCTCCGCGCCGCCGGAGATGGCGACGCCGAACTGAATGGGGGCGAAGTGGAGTTGGGCAGGCCGCGTGGCGAGGTGGAGCGCGGCTTTGGCAATTAGGCGGTGGAGGCACTCGCCGACAGCAATGGGCCGAGTGCCGCCACCAGGCTTTGAGAAGGCAAGGAGGCGCGAGGAGGTGAGCAGCACGGAGGCCTCGGGGCAAAGGGCACCAGCAAGGGTTGCGTTCGTGAGAGCCAGGAGGTGGCCGCAGATGTCGGATTTGTGAAGCGCCGCGTCGCGCAGGACTTCGAAAGTCGTCCCCGAGGGGCCAGTTCCTACGCCATTATGAAGCTGGCTGATGATGCGGCGAAATGACTTCGTTGAGATCGTGGGCTTACGCTCTAGTTCGTATGAGAGGACCCATTCGGGGATGTCGATTGAGGCGGGTGGGTGGTGAGAATGGAGAGCGGAAAGCGTTTTGGCTGTGGACGGGCTGACCGGGGTGGCTTCTAGCGCCTGAAGTGCTTTGCCAAGGTTCCCGCGCTTAGCCAAGCCTGTGGCACGGGACAGAATCCCAGTCCTGTCAGGCCTGTGGCGCTGGGGGGGAGGGAGAGTGATGGCAGCTGCAGCTTCGGCATAAATTTATGCCCAGGAACCGCGGCGAAATGAGTCCAGACGACGCTCGACGGAGGGCCAATCGGGCTTGCGAGCTGTGCCAACGCGGAGGGTAAGGCGTGCAAGGAACATCAGAAGGCGCCAAGCTGGCACCGAGTCAGGGTCCTTGGCCAATCGGAGAAGTGAAGTCAGCAGACAGCTGGCGAAATGGTCTCGAATGTGGTGGGGTGGGTGGCGGGCAAGAGGGGGTTGGCGACTGTCGCGAAGGGCAGCGATATCCCAGCTGGCAACCTGGGCGAAGAGATCAACCTGGACTGCCAGCGCCTCGGGCGAGAGAAATTGGGGATTCGGGTTTGGAAAATCCTCGAATTCCGCATTTCGCTGGCTCGGAGCGGCTCGGGCCCCACTCCGCCTCGGGCCCCCTCCTTCTGCAGCACTGTCGTCCCCAGTCACAGACTCGGAGTCCCCCTCAGAAGAAGGGGTATATCTAGAGTCACCCGAACCCTCCTCGCCATTCCCAGTAGCAGGGCCTTCTCCTCTAGCAAGTGACTCCCTTAGTCTAAACTCCACCCTGCTAGGGTTCTCCACCCTGGCCTCCGCCCCCGAGTTAACAGCCGTGTCCGCCAATCTGCGGCAAACAACCTGGATGAAGGTGCCACCCGCACGTCCCCGAGCTACAGTGGCGGAAAAAATTGCCCGGATGTTTAGCACTTTGAAACATATCGCTATGCAACACTTGTTTCGAAAATAGTACCATCTTTTTCTCGTCCTGTTACAAGGTTATCGAATTCTGCTTCAACCGTTTCTTGCTTGGCGCGATTGTGACACAACCGGAAAGCGGGGTTGAGATTTACTCCTCGCCTATCGATGCGGACAGTTCATACCGAGCGACAGACTAGATCTATTTTCGCCCATCACTCTGTGTGCACATCGTCATGCGCAACAGCTGCTAGTCTAGGATTTAGTCCTGAAGCGAACCTACGACCGCATCGCCATGAAGCCGGTAGATGACAAGAAGCGCACGCGAATCATAAGCATGTTGCGCAGAGGGCATTCGACTAGGAAAATAGCCAAAGTTATTGGCATAGGCAAGAGCACCATGCACGATTACGGTTTGAAGGTGATTGCCGAGACTAGTCGCGATGAGGTGCGACCCACGATGCCCACGGCCGGCCGCCCCCGCTTAATCTCAACCCGGCTGCAGCGCGGAATAGTTCGAGCGATTACAAGCGGCAAGAAAAAAAGCAGTGTAGACGCCGCAAAGATGTTGCAGGAGAAGCATGGTCTGGCTGTAGACTCGAAGACGGTCAGGAAATTTTTACGATCCGCGGGCTTGATCGCCGTGCAGCAGCCCAAGAAACCCAGGCTCTCACCGAAAAACATACGTGATCGTCTCGATTTCGCGAGGTCGCATGCCGACTGGACGCTGGAAGACTGGAAGCGGGTGATTTAGTCTGATGAGACTAAGATAAACCGTTTCTACTCCGACGGACGTGCGTACGCCTGGATTCGCGAGGGCACCAGCCTCCAGAGCCATCAAGTCCAACAGACAGTTAAGCATGGGGGCGGTTCTGTGATGGTGTGGGGTTGCATGACGTATGAGAGGGTGGGGTTCATGTGCAAGATAGATGACAGGATGGATGGGCCGCTGTATCGCAGCATCTTGCAAGATGAGCTCAAACAGACCATCGATTTTTTCAAGCTTTCCCCCTCAGAGGTCATTTTCCAGCACGACAATGATCCTAAGCACAGGTCCCGTCTGGTCCAAGACTGGCTTGGGGAGCAGGAGTACGCGGTGCTGGAATGGCCCTCGTCCTTCCTGGACCTTAACCCGATACAGCACCTATGGGCACACTTGAAAAGGTAGCTGGCGGCGTACGAAAAACCACCTAGTGGAATGCTGGAGCTGTGGGAGAGGGTGCAGGAGGAATGGGACAAGATACCGGCGGAGGTGTGTTCGAACTTTATCGACAATATGCTAAGGAGGATCAAGGCAGTGATTCGCGCAAAGGGACGCTGGACTAGGTACTAATTTTTCAAGAATCTAGTTTGCTGCCTGTCCTCGGTACAAATTGTCCGGATGTGCTCTTATAATATGCTCAGGTGTTTAAGGACCATGTATTATACTACTCTGGTGTTTGTCGACTTGAATGAGTGCTCTAAATGATCTTCTCCACGTGTATGCACACCATAAATTAAGGCTTAAGGTTTACGCCGTCGCACACATCAAAATGCAATAAAGGACTGAACATGTGGAGAATTTTTTCCGTCACTGTATACTCCTCCCTGCTCCTCGCCGTCCCCGTCCGCGGTCCCCCAGGGTCGAAGCGGCGCTAGCCATCGGCGCCCATCGGAAACGCCCCTGCGGAGTCCACCAACGAATGCCTCCCCGTGATGGCGTCGTCACTGTTGTATGGCGGGGGCGATCTCTGGAACGACTGTA